TAATAGTAGTACGATGTAGTACGTCCTATGTTACTGTGCTGACCAGTGTGACGTAATAGGTTAAGTGGTCTTGCACTTCTGCCTACGTCACAGAATGCGAGCCGCGTGCAAAATTTGCAAAAAACGATGAATCACGCCTATGTTAAGCTATGGGAACTTTCCCCTGCACGCTGATTGGCTGCCTCTTAAGTACTGATAAGCGGTCGTTATGACGTCACAAGGAAGTTCAAGAATTTTCGCGCTATTTCCCGCGAGAAAAACAAATTATTTTGGGTCGGCTAGAAAGTTTATCTAGTCGGATTTTTAAGTTTTTAACCGTTAGAAATTAGTTTTATTAATTAAGAAAATTTTCTGGTGGTCGAAACACCGTTAGAAATTAAAATAAAGAGAATTTCCGACCTGTTGCCGGTTAGCCTTTGTCTAACTGTCTAGACAGGTTCGTTGACCTAGCAGGTCGGTTCTCGACCAAAAGCGAAATTCCGAGTCGGTTTCTCCGTCGGAAATTACTTTTTCTCCGTTAGAAAATTTAAATCTACGGCTAGAAATAGTTTTCTACCGCTAGAAAATGAAAAGCCGACCTAGTTTCGGCTGAAATCGACCTACAACCGTGACTTTACCAGTGTCGGTGTCGGTGTCGGTTCCGCTCGATTTCCTCCGTCCGAGGTCGGAAATCCGTCGTTTCCGAGGTGAAATCCGCGAGTAAAGTTGCGGGTCGCTGTTCAAAGCGAAGGTCCCCGTATTATTGGAGTAATCCTATCGCGCTGCAGACTCTCGTTCGAGTCTGATCCGTCAGTTGGGGAAGAAAAAGTCCGTGCGTTCGGGAAATGAGATTCCGCTCTTCAATGTGGAAGAGACCAAGGAACTGTGCTCACCAGCTGGGTAAGAATCACTTCAGTGATCCTCGTTTTCCTCAGCTGTAAGACGATGCGACCGTTCTGATCAAAGTCAAGGGCAGAGATTGCTTCAGCAATCAATCTGACAGTGACTTTCAGGTTCCTCACAATTTCTCCGTGAATTGAGCCTTCACCGTCTCCTCAAAGGGTCCGTCGAAAGAAAACCAAACGATTCTGCTTACCATGTAACAGGCAAGCGCGAGGAGATCACGAGTGTGCTTTATTGACAAATAAAGGGAACAATGCTGCGTAATAGCAGGGAAAGCAAAACAAAGCACTGATGGCTAAACAAGCAAGTGAATGCTCGAAGAGCTCTTGAGCGTTCGTCAAGGCGTGTCAGAAGCAACTGGCGGCAAGCACGTGCTGTGTGCCATCAGCTGTGTGATGATGCGCAGACTGGACTCAATCCAACGCGAGCGTATGAACGCTGAGTCATACCGCGAGAGAGGGACGAGAGAGCAAGTAGGCTCAGTGTGTGCGCCGCGTATATCCGCTTCAGCGGATATGAGTGCAGTGCAGCAGCACACGTACGTACAGCGAGAGAGGCGATAACGGCAAGCATGAGTGCAAGTACGTCCATGGTGGGCCGTACGCACCAGGCGCAGTCGTGGGCCTCTGACAAGACAGACAGTGCGAGTACCATATGTATAGACTAACATGGTCATTTAATTTATCCATACGACGATACGAGTATTAATCGCCCAGAACTTTTAGCCGTCAACACTGACAAACTCACAATCAGTCATTCCATTATTACACGCGACAAACACTGCTTCCTTGCACAAAAATATGCAGGGAATATGAACACGCCGAAGAAAAAAAGCCTGCAAAATACTAGAAAATATCACAAACTATTGGCAAAAAAGGAAAGAGATTAGTGTACAGACAAGTCAACGTCACTGACGGCTGCCCGCCTCCTCGATGGCCTCCGCCAGCTGCCCAACTCGTCCAGCCACAGATTCAAGCTCTACGCGCACTGCCCGGGCCTCCGCGGCCAGTGCAGCAAAGTCGGCGGGCGGCGCTCCCGCTCCCGTTCCAGCTGCCGGTCGGCCATGGCCCTGGTCCTCGGTGGTCTGCCCCGCGTCCGACAGTCGGCGCTGACCGTCTCCTTCGCCCACTGGCAAACTGGCGGTGGAATCGGCGCTGCCGAGATCGGGATGGACGGGACGGCCGGCGTCCTTCTTGGCGTCGCCGTCGCTGCGCTCCCTTTCCGAGCCGGCTGCCTGGCCCTGCTGGACGCCGCCGCCGGCTTCCTTCGCCTCGGCGGCCTTCATCGGCGCGTCCTTGTCCTGCGACGGCTGCTCCGCCACTCCCGCCTCCTGACCGGCCTCGCCTGCGCACACGAAGAAACACCATACAATTGCAAACAGTCACGCCCAAATCGTACATCGTCTTGCTGTAACTATGCAATTAACTGACCAGCTCAAGCGGCGGGAATCGCTCGCTTGGTATCGTTAGCAACTCGGCGGCGGCTGCTCCGCCACTCCCGCCTCCTGACCTCCCTCGCCTGCTCACACGAAGAAATCACGCCCAAATCGTACATCGTACTACATCGTACAGTCACGCCCAAATCGTACATCGTACTGCGCTATTGCTGTAACTATGCAATTAACTGACCAGCTCAAGCGGCGGGAATCGCTCGCTTGGTATCGTTAGCAACTCGGGAATAAATATGAATTTTCAAAAAGAAATACAGCAAAATATTATGGATATAACAAGACAACCGCTAGCTACTGCCTGTTCCGGGTTATTTCCAAAAAGTGTTTACAACTTCCCCCAAACAGAAAATTTATTTCACGAATTTGCTGAACGACACATCAAATATTTATTGAGGATGTTAGCACGAGCACGACGTCAGCAAACAATAATTCAGTAATTTTTTAAATAAATTTTCTTTCCTAGTTAATCAATAAAAAATACAAATATCCACACCGACCTCGCGGTCTTCGTCAGAGGGGGCCTGGATCTTGTCGTGCTTGCCGGCCAGCTCCAGCTTGATCTTGGCCTCGCGCTTCTTGGCCAGCGTGCTCTGCGCGCTCGTCCAGTTGGCGTAGATCTTGGTGCGCTGGTGCAGCACTTCCTGTGGAATAATCAGCAGTTAATACAGCGTCCGCTGTGTTGCCAAGAATAATTGCATCAATAAATAACAGAGTAATAAATCCATTAAAAGGCGCGTGGCTGGCTTGCCTTGACGGTGGTGAGGAGGCCGATGTAGTCGCGCAACATCTCGGCCAGGACGTAGTAGTAGTCGGTGGTGCCCTGCTCGTGGTACAGCAAGTCGATCTTCTCCTCCGTCTCCTCGCAGTTGGCCAGCATCGCCGCGCTCTTCGCGAACATCCCCGTTGCGCCAGCCAAATCTGCGGCAATAAATTCACAAATCAATCCGGATTAATTAAATCAAAATTACTAGAAATAATCCAGAACATAAACTAATTAAATACTCAAATCAACATTCAATTAAAGCAAAATGAATTAAATACTTTAAAAATACCTCCATAAAACGAACAAATTTATTCCAGAATTAATCCGTAAAAACTCAGTTAAAATTACCGAAAAAAATTACAACACAGATTAATCATTTTTAAAAAGCTGAATTAAACTGAAAATAAATAGAATTAAACAGATTAAAAAATATATCATTAAACGCATTAATTCAAATTTATTATCCGACAAATTAAATGCCAGTCTCGCTGACCTCGACGGTGGTGGTAGAGCGATTCGAAGCTGGCGTGCAACTTCTTCAGATGCTTCTCCATGTTGTCAATCTGCGATGTTGTCTTTTCTTCGAACCACTGCAGAACCAAAATGATAATTAACCGACCAACATCGCTGCTAACAGGTACAAACAGCGTACTTCGTCCTTATCCTCCATGTTGTTGGTGATGCGCGTCACCTGCTCGCCCACCTTCCCGAACTACCGCATCACGCGGGCCCAGCTGAAGGCGCTGGTGTTGCTCGCTTTCGGCAGCGTCTCGTCTCCAGGAACTCCCGGAAGTCGGGGTCCATGCGCAGCACCGGATGCTGCGCCGTGCGCGCCAGGAAGCGCTCCAGCGCCGCGCGACGCCGCTCCACGAATTCCCCTATAGAACAAATCATCAAATTAATTTTAAAAATAATTCTCATTAGGAACACCAAATTATTAAATCAAATAAATTCCATACGATTATTTTTTGATCCAAAGACTAATAAGTAAATCGGGCAAATTTAATAGAATTTAATTGTATTAAATAAAAAATCAATAAAAATCTGCATACCGGAAGCGCCGTCGTGCGCGGTGGTGTCGCCCTTGGACATCTTGACCTTGGCCATCCCGGCCACGCTCTTCTCGGGCGCCGGCGGCACGAAGCGGCCGACGTGCACGTGCTTCTCCTGCAGCTTCTCGTGCAGGCCCAGGAAGTCGCTGAAGCGGCGCAGCACGGAGAACTTGCGGCGCCGGAAAACGGCCAGGTTGATCTCGGTGCTGACTTTGTACTGCACGTACGCGTTCAACCCTCGTTCACCTTCTGCGGCTCGCTCACCGTCACCGCCACGAACTGGTCATCCTCCTCCTTCGCTTCCTCATCCGTAATCTGCCCAAATATTATTTATTTGTGTTTTTTATTTGTTTCTGATTTCTTAGGAAATTCCCCATGAAAACGAGAGAAAAATAGGAAAAGTCACAATTATTCATACGCTTTGCTGTTTACGTAACGAAAGAAAATATCAAATAATCGACAACAGCCAGTTTACAATATGCCTGCGCTGATTTACACTAATAAAAATGATCGAATTTTAACATTAAAAAGCATCAAAAATCGTTGGAGCCACTCGTCTCGTTTAGTATTTTACTTAAATATTAAATAATTATTTTAAACATGATTTCTCATAACATTTCGCCAGGATAACTAATCCAACCAAAAATCATTTCTGTCGTAAATAACTAGTCGTACAAATAAAATAAGCTGCAACTGAGCAACTGCAAGCATGAATCATTTCATGCAGCAGTGCAGCACGCACTGCCTAATTCTTGCAAACAAATCAAGCGATATTATGCAGACGAATAAAATATGAAATTTACATTGTACAACTTACGGCGCGTTTGGGCGCTGCGAAGGGCTCGTCGCGGTCGCGCTCGGTGGAAGAATTGGAGTCGGAGACGTAGTTGCCCAGCGGCAGCCATTGGCCGGTACATCTTTAATTTGCCAATGATTTCTACTGACCGAGATTCCGCTACTCCCCGCTTACCGTGCAGGCGGCGCAGCTACCCTGGTATAAATCAAAATGTAGCGTGCACTTCCGTCGTACGTTGAGCGCACAAGTACGTTGCTGCAACCAATCGCAGCGTCCGTCCATTGCCCTCTAGTCTCGACTGCGTGCGCAGCAGTATGAGTCAGCGCGTTCACACGTGTTTTACGCCGATGCCGCCACTTTCCTTGCTGATGGTAAATACTAGATCGCCAGCTGATTGCGAACAGCTGCACTCGTCCCGCTCGCTGGAGAAGAATCCGCATTTTTTTCACTTTAATTTTCTCTTTCAAAGGTCGCTCATTTGTCAGTGGTTAACTGTCTCCTTTCTGCATTTTGTACGTATCAGCCAGTCAGAGTTTAATAGCGTTGAATTCGTATTTTGCTGCCTGTTTACTGCCAGTCTGCCGGACCATGTCGAAGCGCTCTCCACCGAGCAAGCCTACGTCTGCCAAAAAACCCCGGATGGATTTCCCAGATGCTGGAGAGCGTTCGGATGGGTTCCGCATTCTCATGGGAATTGGTAGGAGAAATTATCAATAAGGGCTGCCAGAAGCCAGTTGTAATTGGAAACTTTGTTGCTCTTAAAGCTTATTCCCGCAACACGCGGAAGAATCTGTCAGTCTGTGGAAAATTTTAATTACAATATTAAAATATTAAATTTTGGTTATTCAGATGGCATTTTCTGTTAACAGCATTGATTTTTCATTTGACTCTAGCCATACTTAGTGACGCTGTCAGGTAAAACCGCAATATAGGGATATGGCCAGTTTTGCAAAAAATGGGCTGATTATCGACGTATCCTACTCAGAATTTTTTTCTGAGTCGAATGGACCGGGACAACGATGGTTCTGAAGTCACGTGACCGAGCTATGGGCTAATTTGCATATGGGCGCCTTACCATAGTAAAGTAAGCAAATACCATACAAAAAGACGGTGCATTACTTGTTTTGTTCAGAAAAAATTCTGAGTCGAACAGTACCCATCTCAGGTGAGTAATAAATCACGTGACCAAATTCTAAATTTTTTTAAATTTCGTCAATTTTCGGGCCTTTTTTAAACTAGTCATTCTCGTGCTATTTAATCACGGTGACGTACAAAATGGTAAAATGACCCACGAAAGCAGGACACGCTGATGACGTCATCGACCCCGTTTCTCTGAAATGAATCGTCATGACCTTTGGAGTAAAGGTCATCTGAAGGTCACAAGCAAACATCTATTTTGGCGAATCACAGTAAAAATAAAACCTAAGAAGTATAGGAAACCGTAAAAAACAACGAATTATAAGAATTACAAGAAGCATAAGACAACACAAAAATTATAAGAAATCATAAGAAATATAACGAGGAAACCTAAGAAAGAGGTAACCTAAACTGCGAAACAGTTAACGAAACTAAACCAAATCTGGGGTGTCAGCTATTCATGTATCGTTTAGAGAAAGGAGTAGCGTTGCGTTTAGTTGTTCCTTCTTCTGCCTTCTTTTGCGTATAATATTGCTGTGAGTTGTTACTTTTCCTGTCTCGTTTAAAGAAAGGAGTAACACTGCGTGGGGTGTCACTAGCTCTGCCTCGTTTAAAGAAAAGAGCAACACTGCGTAGGGTGTCACTAGCTCTGTCTCGTTTAAAGAAAGTAGTAACATTGCTGTGCGGTGTTTGCTAATGGTGTTATTAGTTCTGTCTCGTTTAAAGAAAGGAGTAACATTGCTGTGGGGTGTTACCACTTCTGTCTCGTTTAAAGAAAGGAGTAATACTGCTGTGAGGTGCTACTTCTTCTGTTTTGCTTAAAGAAAGGAGTACCGTTAGTTTGAGGTTCTACTTCCTCTGTTTCGTTTAAAGAAAGGAGTAACACTGCTGTGGGGTGTTACCACTTCTGTCTCGTTTAAAGAAAGGAGTAATACTGCTGTGAGGTGCTACTTCTTCTGTTTGGCTTAAAGGAAGGTATAGCATTGCTGTGAGTTGTTACTTTTCATGTCTCGTTTAAAGAAAGGAGTAGCATTGCTGAGGGGTGTTACCACTTCTATCTCTTTAAAAGAAAGAAGTTACACCGCTTTGGGGTGTCACCAGTTCTTTCTCGTTTAAAGAAAGGAATAACATTCTAATGGGTGTTATTAGTTCTGTCTCGTTTAAAGAAAGGAGTAATACTGCTGTGAGGTGCTACTTCTTCTGATTTGCTTGAAGAAAGGAGTAACATTAGTTTGAAGTTCTACTTCCTCTGTCTCGTTTAAAGAAAGGAGTAACGCTGCTGGTAGCTGTAACCAGCCCATATGTCTCTTTAAAGAAACGAGTCATTCTAGCTGTGAAAACACAAATTGTCTGAGAAATTACGCGGAAATAAGTTGGCTAAATAATAGCGTTACCGCTAAGCAACTATTATTTAATTTTACTGTTTTCAGTATTTCAGTCAAGTGACCTTTGTGACCTAGTTTGACCTTTACGAGTGGAAAAAATGTGAGTCGAACGTGTCATTCATGACGTATATATGGCGTCATCAGTAAGAAGGAGTATTAAACTCCTTTAAATCCAGAAATGATTGGATAAATTCATAACTTGGTCATGCGATCTCTGATCAACGTGATTCACATATCGTTCGACTCAGAATTTTTTTCTGAACAAAACTAGCTATAAAACGTGTGTTTATCACAGGTATTACATAAAAAAACTATGACGAAGCACCTAATATGCAAATTGACCCATAGCTCAGTCACGTGACTTCGGATCTGCTCCTGTCCCGGCACATTCGATTCAGAAAAAAATTCTGAGTAAGGAGCATTATCAATCTTGCCATTTGAACCTTTTTTGGCCATATCCCTATCTTGCGGTATTGCCCGCTGTCAGTTATCCTGGAGTTGTTTACGCCAATAAATAAAATACAGCAGATAAATTTTAAAAGTCGTAATATGGTTAATACCTGTTCAATGTACTGTAACTTATTTAGAGAAAGACAAAGATTCTGGGAAGAAGTTTAGTGAGCTAATGAAGGGTGGCGGGTGCCATGTGGAATTGTTTTGGATAAAATGAATCTGGCCGCCGAGTTGACTGCTGCCGTGGTGCCAGGCCAGCCTATCTCTTCCACGGTCAAGTACCCTCTCCTTATCAATATGTTGCGCAACTACGACAATAGCCTGAAAAACATTGCTGCCAGTGGCCGACCCCACTCCAGCTCGTTGGGCGTCTTCCTCGAAAATATGCCAGTCCGCGGAGCAGTACCGTCCGAAAAATCTCATCACGTAGTTTCGCTGGCAGGGATCCGTGACCAGCTGGACATGCAGACGTATAGGTAAGAGCAGGCGCGCATGCTGTTGCAGTTTTCCTTTAAATATAATTTTTCAATTATATTTGATTTAAAATAGCTGTTATAAAATGGAACTTAGATGCTGAAGGTGTTTTAGCAACTTTTGTCAGAGAAAATTCGAAAAAATTAAAATTTTTCAGAGCGATATTTTCGGGCGTGTCTTTCAAACTTGACACTGTGAAATGTGAATGAATGTAGTGCAGTAATGGCTTGTCATGCCTGTGATACTCGTACTGGCCTGTGTATGGCGAAATAGTAGACACCGTCACACCGCGCCGCAGACGCTATTGTGTAGGCGAATTTTCGTTTTTAGCCAGAAATGTAGATTGCCTGCAGAACTGTTTCGTTGCTTCATTTTTTGCCAAATTTGAATTTAGTGAGCTGAATGAGCGTCTCCGTGCTGATGGACTTGAGATTTTTGACTCGGACATTTTCGATCGCGTCGTCGACGATGGCAAGGATGGCAGCGGGGCGAGCGGATCGACCTCGGGCGCTGGTGGAGGAGTTGTTCGTGAGCGCACGAAGGCGGGCGGTTCCAGCCTGATCGCGAGCAGTGCGGCCGGCGCAACGGGCATTGTACTGGGCCTGCACATTGTGGGAAGTGAGGTAAGAATTTTGCACCGATTTTACTCGCGCAAAGGCACAGGACTGACGGACGTGGCTGAGCGATCTCGGAAATAAAATCGGAAATAAGCCAAATTTTTTGTGTATAAATCATTTTCTGATTTAATTTTATTCATATTGGACGACGGTTTTCAAGGTGATATTATGTTAAAATAAAAAAATTATTTAGACGCTTCGGCTGCGTGACGCAATTACAACCATCCAGTGTGGCAGTGTAAGGCAGTTGCTATCTTACGTACTAAAAACCCTTGTAACTGCAGGCTCCCGACGCTGTCAAGGCTGATCGAGTATCTGTGATTCATCCTCCGGTACGTAATGCGAATGTGGCATGTGAAATTAGTGCAAAGTGAAAAATTCATAATTATTGCAATCGTAAAACAGAAAGGGACCACGAATGCCGCGGAGAAGGCGAGCGTGGACACCCGCCAGGCCGCCCTCGACAAGACGCATCCGGCCGCAGACGTCAGCCATACCGAAGCCGTGAAGGAGCTGTCGGCTGCTGGCGGTGAGAAAATTTATTTTTTAATTTTCCCAGAGTCTCGTTTTGGCTGTCGTAACCCGGAACAGGCAGTAGCTAGCAGTTGTCTTGTTATATCCACAATATTTTGCAGAATTTCTTTTTAAAAATTCATGCCGAGTTGCTAACGATACCAAGCGAGCGATCCCGCCGCTTGCGCTGGTCAATTAATTGCATAATAACAGCAATATCGCAGTACGATTTGGGCGTGACTGTTTGCAATTGTATGGTGTTTCTTCGTGTGCGCAGGCGAGGCCGGTCAGGAGGCGGGAGTGGCGGAGCAGCCGTCGCAGGACAAGGACGCGCCGATGAAGGCCGCCAAGGCGAAGGAAGCCGGCGGCGGCGTCCAGCAGGGCCAGGCAGCCGGCCCGGAAGGGGAGCAGCGCAGCGACGGCGACGCCAAGAAGGACGCCGGCCGTCCCGTCCATCCCGATCTCGGCAGCGCCGATTCCACCGCCAGTTTGCCAGTGGGCGAAGGAGACGGTCAGCGCCGACTGTCGGACGCGGGGCAGACCACCGAGGACCAGGGCCATGGCCGACCGGCAGCTGGAACGGGAGCGGGAGCGCCGCCCGCCGACTTTGCTGCACTGGCCGCGGAGGCCCGGGCAGTGCGCGTGGAGCTTGAATCTTTGGCTGGACGAGTTGGGCAGCTGGCGGAGGCCATCGAGGAGGCGGGCAGCCGTCAGTGACGTTGACTTGTCTGTACACTAATCTCTTTCCTTTTTTGCCAATAGTTTGTGATATTTTCTAGTATTTTGCAGGCTTTTTTTCTTCGGCGTGTTCATATTCCCTGCATATTTTTGTGCAAGGAAGCAGTGTTTGCCGCATGTAATAATGGAATGACTGATTGTGAATTTGTCAGTGGTGACGGCTTAAAGTTCTGAGCATCGAAATTGATACTCGTATCGTCGTATGGATAAATTAAATGACCATGTTAGTCTATAGTCTATACATACTGTACTCGTACTATCGGTCTCCTGCTGCGTGTGTACTGTATGTAACTTTAAATTAGAGTAGAAATCAGCATTGTAAATGTGAAGCACTAATACTGCAAATATTACTATACAAATACAATAATTAATTGTGAATTTGTCAGTGGTGAGGGCTAAAGGTTCAGGGCATCCAGATTGATATTTCTACAGTTTTACTCGTATGGATAAAATAAATGACCATGTTAGATACATACTGTACTCGTACTGTCGGTCTCCTGCTGCGTATGTTCGGTATGTAACTCTTAATTAGAAATCAGCATTGTCAATGTAAAGCACTAATACTGCAGATATTATACAAATACCATAATTAACATTATTAAAGTATTCTGTTCGCCTTTTGCATCCAGTGTAGCATGTAGGGAATGAGTCACCATTCACAGCGAAAACGGAAGCCACTGGAACTACAATAATATTACGAGTAAAATTAACGCGCAACTTGTATACCAGTTAACCGGCGATATTAATCCTTGGACAGAACATAATTAAGGCAACTGGCAGATATTTGCAGCTTCGTTCCATTAAATACCTGGATATATACCCTTAATAAGGCACCGTCGGCGCTGAATTAACGGTCGCCGCGGTTGCGCGTCTGCCGCATAATCTCGACGCCGTCGCGGACCTGGAAGGAGTGCACCGCATCTCATCCTCCCGACGACGCCTGGAAGCACCGCGTCCAAGTACAGCACCCGGCACCGCATCCGGGCCACCTTCCCCACCATCTGCTTCACATTCACATATAGTTTATTACCATTTTCTTGTATTTCTTCACAGTACAATCAATAAAATGTTTCGATTCTTCTGACGCTTGTTTAACGATTTTTTCAGCAGTATCCATTTTTGTATCTTGAGGGGCCGCTGCTGGGCACTCCCCTATGTATAACACACCTCCACGTACTCTGCAACCAAAACTGCACCTCCAGGAGGATATGACCTGTACGCTGCTCGTATTATAAAACTTATGAAACACACGGATATATAATATTCACATAAATGACATATATATAATTCACAGAAAGATTTGATTACAATTCACCGACATGTATAATTTACAGGAAAGCATAATTATGCAATGTGGCGAGAGCGGAATGCAGTGGTAAGGCCGTATACGTATGCATAGCTGCAGCGGCACAAGAGCCTGCGATGGCCATTAGCAGAAAAGCCTCAGTGCCGTAAGTGGAGCAAGACCCTGGCCTGGACAGCAGTGCAGGGGGGCCTAGCGTTGCCGGCGGTCGTGCTGCTGCGCTGGAGGTGTTCCGCTCGCTGGACTACATGGAGCGCATCCGCTGTCGGCCGGTCTGCGGACTATGGAACGACCTGCTCAGCACGTACAGCCACTTGTCGGAGGTGCGCGTGTCGGCGGACAAGGACGATTATGGGCATCAGGGGTTGTTCGGCGAGGAGAGCGTGGAGTGGGCGAGGGCGTGTCTCTAGTGCCTGAGCAGCCGCACGCAGGTGCTGGTTAAGCTAGTCATCGCGCGCCGGCTGTTGTTGTGCGGCCACGAGGAGAGAGACCTTTGGCCGCCATAGACCAGCAACTGCAGGGCCCCCGTCTGCTCCTGCTGGTTGATTATTGCACGAGTGTTACTTGAGCGAAGCAGGACTCAATCTGCAGGACGTCGTGGACATGGTGGAGGACGTGGCCGGCCCTGCTGTGGAAGGCCAGCCGCCTGGAGCTAGGATGGATATATACTCATGCGGGCCGATGTGGCCGGCCGGCCGGGCACGAGGTCAACGTCCTGTCCGTCGAGAGTGGAACAGACGCTGTAGACAGACTCTGCGATCGAGAGCAGCAGGTCGGACCGGAAGTGGACTTGTCGGCCCTGCCCTGTCGAGCCTGATGGCTGCCGGCGTGCCGCCCATCCATCCCCGCAGGAATTAATGGAAAAGGAATGCCGTCAGGGCCGACAACGCCTCAACATCCTTTTGCAGGTGGGTGCATGGTCTTTGTTCTGTGCAGGCAAACTGTGCATTCCTATGGTACCTGTATTATTATCAGGGCCTGGAGGACTACCCTACCAGACCGCGGATCCGATCCGCGCTCGACCACCACGCATAGCCGCGACTGAGACTGGACGCCGGACGCCGAACGCTGGACGCCGTGGCCAGCGTGGACGTGCCCATGCTGATCAAGCTGACCGTAGCCTTTTTGGCCAAAGTGTACAGCGAGTCGCAGTCCGACGACTGGAATGTTAATGGGTGTGTGCGAGGCGGCTGTGCTGACCTTTGGCTGCAACTGCCTCCAGTGCATTAGACATACGTGTCCACGGAGTGGGATTCCATCATCCCAGGATCAGCTTGCAACTGCAGCTTCCTTGTCAGTGATCGCCGGTACGGGCTTTTCGAAAGGTGCAGTGCCGCTGTTCCCGGCCAGTACCGTACTTCTATAGGGGATCTCAAAGAGTCCGACAACTCATGGGCGCGGCCCGGCCCCTGGAGCGTTCCTTAAACTTGTACAGATACAATATTTAATACTCTTTCCTAATATTGTTTCCTCTCTTTAGGCGTTGTGAATGGCATGGGCATTTGCATGGGCTTACTTGTTACTACATACGAAGATGGCTACGAATACTGTTGAAAATTGGGTCAACTGGCATTCAGTTGCAATAAAACATTGCTAGCTAATTCGGTGTGCATTATGTAATTATTCCCACTCGATCAAACACATTCAGTAATGCCAGAGAAGCTAGCGCAACGCATACAGTCGCCGATCGACCGCCCTACGTTGCGAATTTTCGGTATCGTGTGGCGCTTCGTAAATCTTACGTAAACGTATGTACTGTCCTGCAGAAATAAATGTTGCTGTTATTTGGTCAGTGAACGGTTTAAGTCTTCTACACAGCAGCCTTTTCATGCGTAAATTTTATTCTTAATGATTATTAACCACAATGAATACAGGTATCGAACAAAAATCCGCACACAGCAAATCTACCAATCCTGAAAACATGACAGACGAGAACAGCAGAAGCCTAAAAGACAGAGCCCCCACATGTCACGCAAACTAGGTCACTGGTTAACGGTCGAAACGCAAAGCGTTGAATTGATAACCCCAGAATTCACATCGTGCGCAACAAGCAGAAAATCCAACTCCCAACTTCCACGTCCCATTCGCCAGTCCACAGAGTTCGGAAAATTCACCACCAAGGAGGTTCGCGAAGATGGCCACAAACAGTTGCATGAAATGAGCGAGAAAGCAATGAAAATGCCAGGGTCCACCAGGGTTCCCGAGTCCCGATCCACGGTTCCCAACCTCACCAGACAGCAGCCTTTGATCGATATAAACATGAACAAAAGTTACTGTATATCTATATGTATACGTTTAGGCTGTTTAGTTAGTGCAGTGCATTGTGTTGTGTTATGGCTTCCGTTGCAATTGCAGAAGCTCAGTTACTTTAGCAGTACTTAATAGTCTCGTCTATACTTGAGCCGGTCGGCATTTGTCTCTGGCTAGCCTCTAAAGAAGCCGTAAAACTATCCAACTCGTAATCTTTTTTACCGGCAACATTTCCATTAATTTTTTCACTGGCCGCGTAGTGCGTACTATACTGTACCGTGTACGCTAACATTTCTGGCAAAGTTCGTTCTGCAGTTTCATGCAGTTCTGCAGTCGCAAGTTCATCTGCAGTTTCATGCATATGTGTATCAAACTTCATGGTTATTTGGATCTAGTGCGCTACTGTGTACCATACTCGGGCAAGTAATAAAATTACTGCAGCAGCGCTATCAGTGCCGGTACGATGCTGGTATCGCCGTCTTAATATACGATGTGTGTGTATAGATATATGTATGAGCAAACGGTTATTTAATTTGTTGGCCAAGTGCAGAGTATTCCAACAGGAAGAATTATGCTTTTTTGCTGATCCTCATTGGCTGAACCGAAGATGATACCGCATTATTGCATCAGCCGGGATTGGATTTATTGTTAATTGGGTTAGCATGCTGCGTCCGCGTTAAGGTTGGCGTGCCTGTTTGCATGGCTCTTTTTTGCCTGTGTACGCATATGTCACGCTTCGCTGTACAGCGATACAATACGCGGTATATATGTGGAAACTGCAAAGGAGAAAAGTGACGCTCGGAGGATGAGACAATTCCTGTGTGAGATTAATGCACCTCCGCCGACGTTGAAGAGATATATGCAGTTGCGTCGTTGAGCATACAAGGTGCGCTTGACTATTTACATATACCGCTCAAGAAGGAATATGCCGGCGTTAGATCCCAGTCGCACCGGAAGTGGTAAATCTCCAACATTCGTTTACGGGGATAATTGTCGAGTTGTTGAGTAATAATCGGTGGAATAATTATTACTCAATAAATTTTATACTACGCGGACAATGAGCGGCATTAGCGTGAACGGCAGCCGGCTGGGCGCCCGCGCCAGATCGGACCTGTCGCCGGCGGCCGGCAATCCGAAGAGCACGAAGGAGTGGACGTGGGTCAGTCTGGGCGGGACGGCAGCTGCGAGCGCACGGAGGCCACGCCCTTCGTGCCCGCCAACGAGGTGGCCATCTGGCTGACGCGGCTCTCCTTCCCGGTGCTGCTGCTCGTCGGCACTCTCGGCAACTCCCTGGGCATCTGGCTGGTCCTCAAGGAGCGCCGCCACGGACGCCGCCGCAGCAGTCGCCCGCTGGACCGGTCGCCCGCCAGGAAGATCTGAGAAAGTTTAGGGTACTGGGCATCGGAAACTTGGAATTACCTCAGCTCTCAATTGTTTGATTCCGACGCTGGATACTTTTACTTATGCAACCAGGGAAGTGGATGCTACTGGAGATCTAGCAGCTACCACAGTGAACTGAGTGAAGACTGTAATGGGAAAGCGAATTACCATCCTCTAAAACATCTCGAATACCGGGGTACGTTTTCACAGACGTGAGGCCTATACATATACCGCAATTTCTTACCGCTTTTAATTACTGTAACTGCGTTTCGAAAAATTTTCAAAATAGGTTTTCAGAATTAGATGTAATTCGTCCGCAATAGTGAACGAAGCTGAAAACTCCCTTGAAATAACTTTCTTTTTGCAGTTGTTCTGAAAGCTGGACAAAACCTCAGCTTGTCCGCATCGTATGATTCTCCAAATGGAGAATTCGTGCTGGAAATGTTACGACCCAAAAACTCTTGTTTTGTGGCACAGGTGTGACAATCGGCAAGGTTTTAAAGCGTCAGCGCGAGAAGCGTTACAGTACGTGACCTTGTCACACAACGGAAGTGTGACTGCGCGTAACGAACGCCACTCTTTCGTGTGGGTCTCCTCAGCGAGAAAACAGCTGAAACCGGAGCTTCGGCTGTATGATGACGGATTCCTGTATCTGTGCGACGAAAAAGGATGTTTCTGGCAGTCCAGTGGATTTCTGGATGCATGTTCAAACACCCAGGTGGACGGTGAAAACCAAAGCAGTCACACTCGGCAGGCGGGCATCACCACTCTACACACCAAATAGAGATTATGCGCCACCATCTGGCACGAGACCAACATTTCCATCCTCACGAACGAAATGCGGAAAATCAGCGGTATTCGAGCAAATTTACCTGGTGATAAAGACAAGAACAGTTCATCAACGTTAAACTAGGCTGTGTTCTGGTTGCGTACAGTCAAATCAACTTTCGCGGCAACTCGAGTTCGTTCACGCCCACGCAAGAAGACGACCGGTACATCGATCCGTTTGAGCAGCAACGATATCCAAACGGTGTTCTGTCGATAAAGTGCGCTTGCTCTCGAAATTACCATATAGAACAAGGCCAACTCGCCAACATCGAAACGATAGGTGGAATTTATCCAAATGAGAAATTATGGGCTACGCTGTGGTTCGAAGCCAATCAGACCGTCGGCGAAACGCACATCGGCAGTGGTGTTTACATGAATCTTTTGTGGGAAGCCCGGAATAAATACAGTTCGGCAAAAGTGACAAAAGGATTGCACGCTCATCACATACTCAGAAATAAATTTAGAATGAGCAGAAACGCAGTTTTCACCGATTTATGGCAGCTCGTATACATTCGAAAATCAGTCTTGGAACAATGCCGTGCAGTCGCTTAAATGTTTCTGTGCGCATCCAGAAAAACGTGGGAGCATAGATATTGTGGAAATAAACACGCAATACGCTTTGTGTGCGGTTATATGGCATGAAACGCACTGGACTATGGAGGAAATGCGATTAATTACCGGCATCCAGGCAAACATCCATTTTGACGTACAGGACACGTTTAGCTCAGTTAAAATGCATGCTGGATGCGTCTTGATCGCGTACAGTCAGATCAATCTTCAGGGAACTTCAAAATGGCTTAATCCGGGGCACGATGGAAAAGACACTTGGCACGCTCCATTCTCTGTGCAAGACTATCGACAAGGTGTACGCTCGCTGCGATGTGACTGCTCCGGTAATTATCACATGAAAGCCGGTTCGAACGGAAGTAATAACGTTATTGGGAGCGTAACTCCTCGAGATAAACTATGCGCAATACTATGGATGGAACGCAACTATACTAAGGGAGAAACTCGCTTCGTCAGCGGGGTGAGTTTAAACCTGCATCCTGCCGTTCATGCCCAATATGCTTCGGCACAAGTGACCTTGGGATGCTCTCTGAAAACGTACAGCAGGGTCAATTTCGAAGGATATGCATCAGTGCACGAAGCCTGGCAACAATGGCCCACAGTTACCTCCTACATTTTTGAAGGACAAACGCGTGAGAATGGTATAAGATCTTTGAAATGTTTTTGCGTGTAGTGATTTTCACATTTTTGTGTGAGTGCGATTCTGTCTTGAAATCTCGCTATCTCGCTTTTTATCAACTGTTAAGTGCTGATGTTGTACTGAATAATCGCTAGCCTCCTTTATCTGGCATTAGATTACGTACTCATACTTCTGGAAAGGTAAAAAACATTACAGTGTTAAGATAGGCCCCATAAAAAGTAATGTTGTTCTTTGTGTTATTACCATTCAAAAGCTTCGTGCAAAAGGCTTGTGTTTATCATGAAAAATCCGACGAAATTTGCTATAATGAGAATTTTAAATCATGGCTGCGAAATTCGCACAGTTCAGAGACATCATCGTATTAAGCACAAGTGCATTTCAGTGAGCGCACATCATTATCATACGACTGGCCCTCGAAACTGTACCACAACACGCCCTCCTGTGTCGGCTTAAAGGTCGTCGCAGTGCCCTGGAAATTAACGCGGTTGTACGTTGTTAGCGTGCACCCTAAGGTGACCTTGGCGGAACTGTACTGGTCCTGGGCGTTGGCGTGGAGGTTCGTTTGGATCCCGCTGACAAACAGCGAATGTGGGCCACTGTAATCGGCGTCGTACCACAGTGTGGCGCACAGCGGATACAGGGCGTTGATCTCTTGGATATCGGTGTCGCTCAGCTTCTCAATCTGCCCGATTTGGTAGTTTTGGTACTGGGTTTTGGGACGGATGGTCCAGATGCTGGGATTAATAGCGAAGGCGTACATGTTGTAATGCATGATGGAGCCGAAGTCGTAGCCGGTTCCCGATGTAGTAACGATGCTGGCACCATACTTGTTGAATGCATGATGCTGGTCTAAAGTGTATCAAACATTTTCTTACGTCAACGTTGGCCAAACGTTAATTACAGCAACTATTAAGAATCCATTTTACACAGGAGCTTATGGAGATTTTTATTTGCTACTGTAAGTTAGCCAGGTCAATAACTCAGTTTCTAGTTTTGAATATTTTTACGTCATAAAATAATAAATTAGGCGCTGATTGCGTTGGACAAGTAGCGTTGACATTTGTGTTGAAGAACAAAGCGTAAAGCTGTTTAAAGAGAATTATTCGGAACTTTACCTTGAGGAACGTTGTTGAGGTTCAAGTCAATGTAACTGTCACGGTCCGGGCGTGATTGCTCGTGCCAGAAACCGACCGCGTGGTTAAGTTCATGGACGATGGTTCCATAGTGGACACATCCCTGTCCTAAGGATAGCTGCTGCGCTCCACCGTGCTGTCCCACCCAACTCCAACACCTGCAAGAACGATTTGGCACTGCATAATTACAACAAAACAGTTTTCTGGTATGCTTGTTTTAGACCGTTACCCAGATCCCTTGAAGATGGTCAAGTAATTTGGTTCCGAACCGGTCCGTTGATAAAATCGGACCGCTTCCGTTCTTTCGAATTCCTTAAAAGCCCGCTGGATGATGGCGCGCTCGGCCGCAGTAAACGAGCTGGCAATTTCGTAATACACGAATCCGCCCCACCAGAGGGGATACTGCAGGGTTCCGGCTCGGCTCACACCGTTCAGTTTCATATCCTGAATTCGAACATGGGCATTTTAGTATAATATTTAATCAGTCTTTCCCAGGCAGACGTTCGAGTTGTCTACACTATGGAAAGCTAATCCTGTCAGTACGTAATTTGATGCCGTGGATTCAAATTATTATTTCTGTTGAAACTGTAATACAGTGCGTACTGGGAAATGAACTGCGAACGTATTTATTTTCATATTTACTGTTTCATGAATTTGTACACAAAAAGCGTAATTTCGACGTAGTTAACTTCACGTGTCTGTAGTCATACTAATTTGTTAAACCATTACCAAGTCAGCGATGGTGTCACCATCCTCGATAACTCCGGCAATATCCCCTTCAAACAAAATGGGTTCTTTGGTATTTCCACTGGGTGTAACCTGCTCGTTGAAGCACCTCACCGGATCGGCTGAGCGCACCGGTGACATGGTGCATGTCCAATCAATCGGTGGTTTGCCATTTATAGTGGACGGTGCTGCGCTGACGCTGGACAGGACGACCAAGAGGCTAACCAGAGTAACGAACGCCATTTTGCCGATGATGCGAGAAGATACGTGTGCCACAATGCACTAGACACCGACGATAGAATGCTCACCGCAACATTTTGAATACTCGTATTTGATTAGAACTTTAGAAAGCCAGTTTATCGAATGGCTGATAAAGTAAATCAATTGTTTCAGCGTGTCAACCTTGACCTGATTTAGAACAGACAATTGCTCGGCGATACTGTAACGACTGATTATGGTTGTATTGTTAAACTGTTCGACATTTCTGTTATTGCAAATTTATTCAAAAACATAAAGATGACGACAACAAGGATTTCAATAAGCTGCAAAAGATTATGGTTTTAGAAAATTTGATTACTAAAAACATCCAAGTAATTTTCTTTTTCTAGTAATCGACGTTGGTATACCAGTACTGTGTTTCAGTGCATATACCGTGAAAAATGTATTGCATAGTTTTCTATGAGCTTTTACTCTAATACGTAATTTAAATGAATTTTGACAAAATGCGCCGATCATAAAACGGTTGTTTTTAAATTTTGGCAAACTTTTCGGAACACAAAGCATAACGGCCCGCCTCTTTAATAGAGATCAACAGTCTAAGAGCAAGTGCATTTCAGCGATCGCGCATCATTATCGTAATTCTGGCCGCCAAAACTGAACTCCGACACTTCATCTGTCGCCCTCAACACGGTGCTCTGACCCTGGAAGTTGACCTGGTTGAAAAGCGTTAACGCGCATCCCGGGGTGACCTTGGCCGAACTGAACTGATCCTGGCTGAGAGCATGCAGATTGGCCTCGATTCCCCCAACAAACCGTGACTCGCCTTTGGTGTAATCCGCTTCATACCACAGCGTGGCGCACAGTTTGTACAGGGAGTTGATCTCGATAATGTCCGTCGGCGTCAGATAGTAGCGTTGCCCGATCTCGTAGTGGCTGTACTGCGGCTTAGGGCGGATGGTCCACATGTCGTAGTCCATGGCGAAGGCGTACTGGTCGTAGTGCATAATCGAGGCAAAGTCGTAGCCGGTGTTGGAGGTCGTCACTAGGCTGGCTTCGTATTTATCAAAATTATAGCGGAGTCCTGCAGTGCATTAGGAAACGCATGATTAATAACTGGACTACATACAACCGAATAACCTTTACCGTTACGTATAAATTTATATAAACGATATGAAACATTATTGTCGATTTTCGAATCGTTTATTTTGTACCTTCATGAACGTTGTCCAGGTTCAGATCAACGTAGTCATCCCGATCCGGTCGCGACTGCTCGTGCCAGAAACCGATAGCGTGGTTGAGCTCGTGGACAACGATGCCATGGTAAGCGCAACCTGGTCCAATGGACACCTGCTGCATTCCACGAAGCATTCCCACATAGCTCCAACAGCTACGGACATTAATGATTAATCCCAGATTATTAAAATGATATTGATACATTAATATTGGATGCGTGTGGTCCGAAAGACGAGAACGCACCCAGAGCCTTTAAAGATCTTAATGTAGTCCTCCTGGGACGATCTCGGGTAGAAACGAACGACATCCGTCTTCTCGAACTCCTTGAACGCCCCCATGATGATCTCGCGCTCCTCTTCGGTGAAGATGTCGTCGATTTCGTAGTATACATATGCCCCCCACCATCGAGCATATTGCAGTGTTCCAGCCTTGCTTTTGCTGTTCAATTTCATATGCTAAAATAAACCCAAAATAATAAACACCCACAGAATATTTTACAATGCAGTAAAAATTAAATCACACTAGCAGTAAATTCAGTTATATTGTACTTTCTTTCAAAACATTATTATAAGAGAATCGTATTTAAAATCGTGAAAAATTCTTATTCGAACGTACTTAGTTTATACAATAATGCAGGAAACAAAAACGTTGAACGAAAAATTTTGTGGTTATAATTCTCGGGCATACCAAATCTGTGATGGTGTCTCCTGGCTGGATGACACCTGCAATGTCACCTTCAAACAAGAGTGGCTCTGTTGGCTCACCGCTTTTCACGGCTTCCGGAGTAAAGCATTTGACCGGATCCGCGGAACGCACTGGTGACGTCGTGCATGTCCTGTCGATGGGTGTCTTACCGTTGATTGTTGCCGGTGCAGCGAGAACGCTGGACAGGACGGCAAAAAGGCAGACAACCACGAGCAAAGCCATCTTGGTGAATGGTGAACACTGAACGGTGTAGCGCAAACTGGTGTTTTCAAAATTAACGCTGCATTTGATATACAAGTTCGACGATTTGAATAATGCTTATCAGAATGTACGTTTTAATCAGTCTCATGCGAACAATAAAGTACTGTTTTGTTATCACTACCGATCCTGAACTTAGCACTGCATGGCAGAATCATAACTGGCCGGTTTCCTCAAAATACGTACTACTATAAAATTGTTGATTGTATTTGCAAGCGGTTTTCTTGTAGCTAGTGTTCTCGTGTGACTTAATCGACTTGTGGCGGATGGCCGCCTTTCGAGGCAGGAGTAGACCAATTAACTTTTGTTACGCTTTCGCAGGATCAGGTTTCACCGACAGATTCACAAACCAACGTACTACACTACCATTTCATTGCAAGATTTTGACCGTCCTACTGATTAGCACAGAAGATCGCATACGAAGATGTTTTTAATCAGTTTGTTTCAAGCAAACGTTTATGACGAAATACGAATAAATTGGATTTCCCCCAGTAGGATGTATAATTACTTTGCTGCGAGCATTGCTTCCAGATGTACACCAATCAGCAAACCGTTAGAGACGTAAAAAAGTGCCAAATTCCATTGTTCTGTTAGCTTCGAATTGCGGTCTACAGGATGCATAAACTAGCGCTAACTAAATGGGTACTGCGCGGGGCTCCTGATGAAATAATAGAACTGCCATTTGCATCGGTCGCTATTCCGGACGCGTAGGTGGTTTCGCGATTTTGGTAAGTGCAGATCACTCTCCGTGTTTCGATGATGGTGGCCGTGCAGCACGGCGGACTAGTGTCGGGTACGGACGCACTGGGAGGGTCCTCGATAACATACAGCGTACACGGCAGTGTAGCCGTGGTCGGCGAAGCAACTCTGGGGGTACCACCGTACCATCGGCTCCAACTATTGTACCGTAGAAGGTTTTTGCCGAACCGCCCGCGCAAAATGCATTAATCAGGGTGCGGGTGACAGTTACCGAGGCGTCAGTGGTACAGGAAGGCGGTGGGGCTATGAATACGGTCGATACCTCCGTAATAGTATCCGAAACTTCGAAGTCCGCGCAGCTCGCCCCAGTAATAGTCTTCGTAAAGATTACATTGGGCGCCGTGCACTTACCTGGCGTTGGTTGTACTGTATATTGCCGTTTTATGGGGCAGATCCATGTTGACCTTTTCAGCGTGCCAGACACTGACCCGCTGCCGGAGTATCTTTGTAAGGGCGGATGGTAGGTGTAAACTGTGGCACTTTCCTGGGTGTTTTCACCAGTGAATACCAACAGCTGTACGAGTACGTTCGGCCGGCATGGTGCATATGGCAGCCGGCTGCCGATGTTTGGCAGATTGCGGCTTAACCCCGGCTTGACACGAAAATATGCGGAATCGAACAGGTCCGAAGGGAATTCCCGTGCGGCGCATAGTCCAACCTGCAGGTCGTACGATACTAAAAATCGAAAACCAATAAAACATTCTTTTCATGCACGGAAGTCCATGTTAATAAATTTATGCACATAAAAATTAATAACACATATTAGGCACGATGTGGGCGCTTGAAAAGCAGCCACTACACTACAGTTATCGCAAATTCGCAGTCATAAAGGTAATTCATAATTACTTCGAAAAACTAGTTCAATTGATAAATTCTTTAATTATGCGATAAATATGTTTACGTATACGACGCCAGTATTTTGATGTGCACCGCCCATGCCCAATGCACGTATGTAACGTCGTGGGGGGTTCTGGTATGAGGCTGAGCGTAACCCATAAATTTGTATATCTCGCAATACCCTCACACAAGAAATTAACCACCCGGCTTGTATCTGTATGTGTTGATAATAACGTAGTGTAATTTGTTTCATATTTGTTACATCGTTACATATAATTCACAGCGGAAAAAATTTCCGCATTGCGCTAAAATTGCAATGTAAATTTTGTTTTTACAGTAATTTTTCTGCAACAACTTACTTCATGAGAATGTGATTATTCTAATGATTTCAGCAATTAAGTATGTATGCAGATACTTTCAGTAGTGTTGGGGCTGCTGACGACACGTGCAGTGATTAGTAGCATCCTTACAATATCAGCGATATATACGGTCAATTCTTTTATAAGCCGTATTGTAGCGCTCGATTTCGTCATCCACTGGGGTATTTTAAGATATTCATCTTTTAGTTGACGTACGACGTACTGTAAGTGCGTAATAATTATTATAGTTTGCAGTGTAGATAATCGAAAAGTGGTGCGGAGTTGCGGCATGCTGTAGATGTCCTACTTGATTAGCTTGTTTAAGACAGAGAAACCTTTAATAAGTTTCATAGTACGAGTACAAACTATGCACCAGAACAAAAAGGCGTTTACAAAAGAAACACTTCCATGCTATCCTGATCGGGGATCGTACCCATTACACAAATCGCGTTTCCCCGTTGTATTTCCATAGATACTTGCTGTTTAAAGAACTCTTTCGCCTTGCTAAGACGTCCAGAGTTATAACAGCGATCGATAGCACTGATATCGATGTGAATCTGCAAATAAATGTCCTTTCGAACAATTCAACAGTATTTATTTGTGTTTTGTGGAAGAGTTGATTGACCTAGCAAGTACATCGAAAGTGGTAATTGCATTAAAACGATCGCCTGCTAGTTCAGAATGCGCTATGCTGCGTGAAGTACTTACGGGTTTATACTACGATTGTTTTGACAAACGGCGATTGAGAGTTTCGTAGGACAGATGCAAACAGATCAAAGGGTACCTTAGAGTGAGTGTTTCTAAAATGTAATATTTTGAAACAGCAAATCAAGACTGATTTCATTTTTATCCAATGATTTCTTCCATATCTTTCAACAAACTTAAAAGAATTTACGGAACGAAGACAGCCAAAAAATATAAAAGCAATCGAAAGCGTTCCAAATTTTAATCAATATTACGGCAAATGCATCGGAAGATTAACTTAGCGTGTTACGCTTCCGGTATTCGAAGTTAAAAAAATTTTTCTGTTACATGAATATGATAAAGTATCCAGAAACACTGAAGGTTCACTGGTCGCCGCTACTGAATTTGTTATTACCCTACCGCCTGAACACAGTATAATCAATTATCGTCGCAAGTCTGAACGATAGTTTCTACTTCCACGGCGCATCAGCACGAAGGCTCCTGTGGCACAAATACGGTGAACGTATCCGAAATGGTTTCAAGCTCCTCAACGTCCGGACACCTAGCCGTGTCAATTAATTCTGTAATAGTCATATTGGATGCCGTACAGAAGTACTGAGTTGGATTTACGTCGCTGAGTTTCGGCAAAAACCGGTATCGACCTTTCCAGCGTACCGGAGTCTCTTTGCACGGGCGAATGGCCTGTGTATACTATAGCGCGGCATGGTACGTACTGTCAATGTTCGGCAGATTAAAGTCTACTATTTCTCATTATCATTACAGTCTGTTTTCCATTAATATAACCCGTCACTGTTTATTAAACGTTAAAACCATTTCTTTAGACACGTACCTGCATTACGCACAGATATTTCGTTGCCAGCCAATGCAGGAGAAGTTCGAGTTAGATAACTGTTATACGTTCCAGAACTACACGAAAAATTTTAAAGCGAGGGTTAGTCATCCGGAAATGATATACTGCTGAATACGTAAGTAGTCATCGCGCTGTATGCAGTGTGTATTCGTGCTGACCGGCTGACTTCCATAATAATTATCAAATTCACATGTACAGTACTGCCGCACTTGAGTTCCGGCACGTCTCGCTACATCATAGTGAATAATTATTATTCGTTCAACTGGTTTGGTGAGTTTGATCACATGTGAGCGCCGCGGTGGTCCACTAGGCGCATGATTAAACTGTAAGGATTTGCCTGCTAGTCACACCTTGTTTCTTATCGGTCTCGTTGTTTCATCGGCTTGCATGATATTAGCCGATTTGTACAAAGGTATAACGTAAGTCTTTTCCGTGTCTATTGACAGCAGCAGAAAATTGATGTTGAATCACTGACTAACACTAGGCTATGCTGTTATCTGGAGGCGCAGTGGAGCGAACCATTACTCTAGTAATCCATATCGCAGTAGTTTTTAGTTCAGCCGCAGGCTGCCGTGATCGCTTAATGCAGGGTCCCGCCTCAAAATGCATGCTGTAATTTATCAGCCTAACTGTGTAGATGTTCTGGACAAGGATGGTCTATTTCGGCACGGACGCGTGGTGGATGTGGCCTCCGATGGACTGTACATAGACTTCCTATGCCCTGATCGGCGACGAGAGCATGTCTCTTCCTATATTATCTACCGTTCTACCGAAACCCGATTTGTCAAGCCGACGGATCTGCATGCGTCGACGACATCAGAAAAGCCTATAGAAGTGCTAATGCGAGAATCTTTTTCTGGGCGATGGACATGGTTTCCCGTAGAAATTCTCAGTGGGCTTCCAAGCAATATGGCTCATACACCCTGCCAGGTAGCCGTTGTGCAGTGGTGGAATAAAACCAATAACACAACCTGCACAGATATCGTTCCAATTGAACGCCTGCGTTACCGGCTACCCACTGGTTTTTGGGCACTTTTGAATCGAAGCCATGTTGTGCAACTACCGCGTCCATTCGTGTCCACTCGTTCGTGGTTGGGTGGTTCGGCACTGCTGCGCGAAATGGTGAGCTGCGTTGAAAACGGCGATTATTTTAAAGGCAGCCTGCAGATACCCGAAGTTTCCGGCTCGATTTCTACTGAAGAACTACTAAAGCGACTGAACAGCAAGAAGGTCCGTTCCGAGTTAGCACAGTTTTGCGAAGTGTCTTTCGTGGAAATCTTGGAGAGGCAGCTGTCGTATATCGTGTACCGTTATCGAACTGTGGACGATGGAAAGAAAGCCGGAACTCCAAGAGTCGCGGTGAGATCTAAAAAATGCGCGGTTATGTGAAAAATTCTTTTGACGGCTTTTTCAGGCAACACATGGTGAAGAATTCCATCGCAGATTGATTGAACACATTGCTCGTATGCAAACTGACCCGATCCCCACAGATACATTTGGTGCGCTGCCGGTTAAGTTGTGGCAGGAGGTTCTTTCCCATTTGGACACTCTGACGCAGACAAAAGTGCGTGCCGTTTGCCCATTGTGGAATTCCATCCTCGATCTCCCGTTGTTGACAGCGAACATTCTTATCTCGAATTCTGGAAGCGATAAGCAGAAGAGTCTTAGCCGCATAGAGTATGACCTGTTATCACCGATCTATAGGTGCCTGAGCTCAGCCACGCAGCGGATTGTCATAGTCAATCAACGCCGGATGATGGACGTGAATGATTTCTTCGTACTCGTACCTAACATGATACAGTGGACTGTAAAACAAAATTCCGGGGTTCATTTGAAAGCGATCCATTGGGTAAATCTGCAATGCCGGCTCTTAATCCGCAACCGTGCCGATAGTATTGATTACCACGAATGCGTGCTGCATCGCAACACAGCCATGTCAACCGGCCATCTCAGTGTATCCACTATTGGGCTCCCGGATTTCATTGAGTCGTGCCGGAAACTCCCTTGCAAAGCCATTCAATTACACTCTTGCGTTATTAATCTGGAGTGGATGGTTTCGGGTCCACAATTTTCGCAGATCCGATTAATTGTGCCAATTCATATCCCAAGGATGCGACTGGAGACCACATCCGATTTCGACTGCGCAGTGTGGGATGCTCTGGAGGCGGCGCTACCGGCACCTAGTAGCGACGAGCTGCAAATTTTGTCCAAATGGATACAATCGTCCGCTGCTGGAGAATACACATCGACCAATGGCAGACTGCTTTGCTGGGTAAGCCGATGCTGTCATCTCAACGACCGGCATTTAGTGGTTGCACACGCTCCGGAAATCCGTAGTGGCAGTTATCATTATTTTATTACTGTGCTGCGTAACGTAGTGTGACTTATTATTGGTTTTTTATTACTGGTTATTTTGGTTATTTATTTATAGTTTTTTATTTATTTGTTATTGGTTATTTTTATTATTGGTTTTATTATTGTTTTTTATTATTGGTTATTTTGCAGGCTATGTGTGCGATGCATACCGCGGATCCACGTCCGTCATCGCATTACCGTGGAAAAAAATGGTGCGTTGCTGGTCTACAAGATTTGCAACTAGAGAAGCTCTCCCGCTTGACACAGCACTTCTGCATTAAACTGGCGAAATTACGAGGATGATAACTTCTTCAGTACAGCGGCTGGCAGATATGTTTTTACGAAGACTGGTTATGCTGATTTGATTTTGTGGCGATGAGTTTACTCGTACTTACCGCTGACTTTTTCTGTTCCGCTTCGGTGGTCAGTTTATTTCGCAGCATGCAAACATACTCGTCTTGTAACTTTGATTTGCTGGAAACGTTTTTTTTGTCTTATAACATCTTATAACTTTGATTTGCTGGAAACGTTTTCTGATTCATCGATCATTTCTAAGTGCATTGCCTCCTTTTGGCTTTTGCCCGACGCGAATCAGTGGCTCAAATTGGTATCGTAAGGACTTCTGTCATAATCCGGTCAAAGCGAATGAAAAAGCTGGGAAAACTACTTTGTACCTTGGAAGTTTAATGCATTGTGGATATTTCTCGTTGATTCTACAGACTCTGTACTTGTAATTCTTCTGATATTTTCGATACTTCTATTGGAACGATTGGACTTTAATTATTTAAGCGTGTTTCGTAATGAGTTTGTACAGCGTCTCATGTTGACGCCATACAGCATACGTACGTCACTCTAGCCGGAAGTGGACTACCTGGTCCAGTAGTATAATAAGAATAAAACTAACATGTAGACTTCAACATGTGCCCCTGTATGTTGCAGATAGGGCGCTTAACTGACGACGGAAATTCCAAAGTGTAAACGAGTCGTTTGGAGGTAAAAGTGGAACGAAACTGCACTTATGGCGCACGATACAAGAAGGAATGCGTGCCGCGCGTATATCCTGCTAGGCTGCTACACAAAAATTTGACGTTCAAGTTCGTAATCGTATTGTACAAGCCCGGGCTTGAAAACGGGCTTGTATGATACAAGTTGTATTATATGCATGGCATACTACGTTGTACTACTGGCATGTTTATCTGTGAATCAGAACACATACTTGTACGCATCAAGTAGCGCGTTTCACAAGGTTTGGCATTCCAGCCAGCGAAACGAAGCGCGGTGTGCGCGTACCATTTAAGCCGTCAGTGGTTTTGTGTCGCTTGTTTGAAGTTTAACTTGGATGCTTGAATTTGTTGGTTCCATCGGTATTAAAAAAGTACGCATACTCGACTACGGTAGCATCCCCAACTGCCACCAATTTGCAACTTATACCGGAAGAATTCAAATTACACGCCCTGATTATCGTTAGTCGAATAATAATAGGATTGACATTTGTTGCAACTTGCAAGAAATGCCTACTGGAATTTACCAATCCAACACCGCGGACGTCTTGGGCGAAGACGGGCTCTTTCGCTGCGGACGCGTGGTGGACGTGACCGATAACGGTCTATTCGTTGATCTTTTGTGTCCTGAGCGACGACGACAGTTTATTCCTTTCGATCGCATCTACCGTTCCACCGAATCGCGCCGTGTCCACCAAGGGGAATTCCATGGTGGAAGGGCATTTACGAAACCAGTAGAAGTCTTAATGCGGGACTCACCTTCCGGCCCGTGGACGTGGTTCCCCGCGGAAATTGTCAATATAAATCGCGGAATCTGCCACACAGCCTGCCATGTGGCCGTGGTAAGCTGGCGGAATGGAACAAGCTGTTCGGATTTCGTCCCGATTGAACGTGTGCGCTATCGTCTGCCCAGTGAGTTTTGGATGAGACTGGGTCGAACTCACGATGTTCCACTCCCACTCCCGCTGGTGCCTGCTCGTTCGTGGTGGGGGGATTCGGATACACTGCGCGAAATGGTTAACTGCGTCCAAAGCGGGGAGTTCGTTAAGGGTAGTGTGCAGATACCGAAATGCCCTAGCTCGATTTCTGCTGAAAAATTGCTCAAGCAACTGAATCGTACCAAGATGATTTTCGGATCAAGATATTCCTGTGAAGTTTCTTTAGTGGAAATCGTTGATGGACGGCTGGGCTATATCGTGCGTCACACTCGAGCCTGTAATTTAACAGGCGAAAGTAAAGCCGAAAATCCAGTTTTCGAGGTACAGCGGCACGCCGGCACTGGGTGTCTGTAAAATCTCTGGAAAAACAAGGTTTTTGTAGACTGATACAAAACGCGTCATAGGAGAATTTTTCAACGTTACGAACTTGCGAGTTATTGACTAATCAGTGATGGGGGCTCTTGCAGAAATCTCGGGAAGACTTCCATGAACACTTTGAACGCACCATCGATAGAATCAGCCCCGACTTTACTGATTCGGCATCCAGCGATCATTTCGGAGAACTACCAGTGGAGCTGTGGTTGGAAGTCTTCTCCCATTTGGACACCATGACACAGACAGCCCTGCGTGTGGTTTGTCCAGGATGGAATTCTATCCTCGAGTCTCCTACATTAACAGCAAATATTCTTATCACGAACTCGGGGAGCAACAAGAAGAAGAGTTCTGGCCGTCTGGAGTATGACCTGTTGTCACCGATCTTTAAATGTCTTACCGCATCCACGCAGCGCATCGTCGTCGTTAATCAGCGTCGGCTGATGGAAGCCAAGGATTTCTTGCTGAATGTCCCGCAAATGATACACTACGTTGCCGTACGCAACGGAGGAATTCATCTGAAAACCGTCCACTGGGTTAACTTGCAATATCGTTTGGTATTCGGCAATCGTTACGACCATGTAGGTTACAACCAGTGCGTGCTGCATCGCGGTGAATCAACAGAATACGGAAAACTAAGCTTATCTGCTGTTGGTCTTCATGATTTCATTGAGTTATGCCGGGACCTCCCGTGTAAAGCCGTTCAGCTGAATGGTTGTACTGTCCTTCTGGAATGGACCATATTTGGCGGTTCTCCTTCGGAGTTGCGATTACATTTGTTGAATAACAGTCCCAAGGTAAAGGTGAAAACGCTCCCTGATTTCGGCTGCGAAATGTGGGATGTCTTGGAAGCTGCGTTACCGGCACTTAGCAGCGAGCAGTTGGAAACGCTATCCGAGTGGCTGCAGTCTCATACAGCTTTACAGAACGCAGATTCAAAAAGTACCAAAATAATATGCAAGGTGAGTCCGGTTAGTATTAGTTAAATAATTTTTCTTCATATCGTTTTTGCAGGCTTTGTGTGCGACGCAGACAGTGGACCCGCGCTTGTCATCGCACTACCGCGAGAAACAATGGTGCATCGAAGGTCTTCAAAATTTGAAAATGGAAAAGCTCTCCCATCTGACGCAGCACTTCTGTATAAAGCTGGCGAAGCTGCAAGGAATCTAATTTGCGCTGACAGCATTTCAAAGCCATTTTTTATTTCCGATGTACTTATAAGCGTTCCGGTAAACTTACTTTTGTACTGAATTTTGTTGTCATAAATACTGAATTTTTCTGAATGCTGAATTACTGAATACTGAATTTTTTTTTGTACTGAATTTCGTTGTCTTGTCCACTTTACAGTTTCTTGATGATGGTAATAAATGTAAGAAAACTTTTTATCATCTGCAGTGTATCGCCGTTCTGGTTGCCCGACACAATAAACCGTTTGGTGTTGTTAGGGTGTGTGATTAAACTGACGATAGATGCAGACGCTGTACTATTAAATTTGCTTTCCCACCCATTATTATAAATATTTCCGGAACGAAGGAAGCTTCAGATGCCAACACTCACAGTGCATAGCGAACCAAAGTAGTTTTCGAGGGCAGAATTTACTCAGGATAAAACGATATTAGAATTTACTTGTGTGTGTGATAATTCCAACACTACTGCGAACCGCCGCCGCCACTTCAACGATTTTATTCTACCAGAAGAAATCTCTGTCTGTATTTTTTAGCGTATTTTTGCCCGTTTTATGTTTCATGTTGTCGGCAACTGGAACAATTCGTTCCAGAGTTTTTAATTTTTTACCCGTAACATAATACACTGCATAATGCAAACAGACTTGTGGTAGAATTACGCACTTTATAGGCGTTTATTTCTGAAAATACAAAAATATTGACTTACTTCTACCAGGAGTACTTTAAAGTTTCCATTTTTGGACGGTTATCACAAACTAAAAACTTATCACCCTGATCGATTTTCGATTTCAGAATAGCCAGTAATTCATTTCCATCAAGGTTGTGAAAATATTTGTGCCCACAGTAGTACGCGGTCGATACTTCTGTGCATGGAAACGGTCGATGGGATGATATGAAATCTGAATGGTTATAATTGATCACAAAGTAAAGCAATCTGGTTAGATGCATCAGCCAAGTAAACATTTATGTGTCCTCAATGTACACATCTATGTATTTATTCTGCACTTTTTAATATACCTACTGACTATGACCACCGTTTGCAGTAACCACGAAACCTTATCCCGCATTTTATCACGGCATAACCTTTGAATGCCAATCCACTCTGTGTGACCTGCGAGGTCAGCGTGATCACTGGACATGGCGATGGGAGCACAGATTGTGCCAACGTCTTCACCATCGCCCAGAATTTCGACCCGAATGGATGGGATTACAAGGGTCTGCAACGAACTGGGTTATACCGTATGTAATGGTCAGTTGGATGCCTCTCGCCATCGAGATATCACTAGCACCACCACCGCGGCTGCAGATGCGATTTTATATGCCAGTGTCGCTAATTTTGCGCCCTACAGTTACGAAGCACCGGCTGATTCTGGCTGTTTTTGCGGGATATCCGTGAGCCTGCTGTCGATTATTGCCAAACATCTCCATTACCGGTAAAACCGCAGACAAAAAAAAGTTGTACCCCGCAGTGTGTTTGCACGTGTTACAATCACTCTACTGAACTGTCTTTCGCTTATTTTATTCATCTTTTACTTTTAATTACAGCGTACGATTTGATCGGTCGATCACCGGCTTTTTTATAATATATGACAATCCGCTAATCGCATAATAATTAATATGGCTGTTAATGCCGTATGTACTCTGAAGCGTTCAGTTTTTTCAGATAAAAGATTGCGGTTTTTTATCTCAGATACTTGTACTGTAATTTCGTTATTAAAATTTTCTTTTTCATATTCTCCTTTTATGCAAGTTTTTGAAATGGTTGTACTTTTACGCGGGTTTGGGTGACCTTTTATTTAGCTGGACATAAAACCGATCTTTAATTAAGAAATCACGGTGAGCCACAACTTGACACATTCCAAAATAAGTTTACCAAACGTAAGTAAATTTGGTTGGAAACACTTAGAATAATCGATAATGCCCCGTATGATCAGCAAATAGAGTGACGTTGCGTTTTACGCGGCTGCTTAAAACAAGTTAAATTTGCAGCCTTCAGTTCCAAGCGCCTATTTACGATGGCAGCCGTGTTAGTGTGGAGAATACCTCCTACGAAGGACCACCGGCCGACGCTTTAGCGGGTCGTGTAACCCTCAGTGTTGCCCCTCTCTTCGCCTCACCGGATCGCATGCGCCACTTCGACCTCATCCATTCCTTCCTCATTCGCGATTACCAATTAGCAGTCCACTCGCGATATCTAGAATCAACTGGCGGAGTGTCGGAAGCGCTGTTATGGGGAATTATTAAGAGCTTCAAATGGGGATCGTGGATAGGCATTGTGATAACCTGCTTGGTTGCATGCTGCACAATGTGGCTAGTCCAGAGTGCCAATAACTGCATTGCAACCGGTCAGAAGTTGTCTGTGGCGTTTCGGCTCAGTCGGAAACGAATGCGTAATATGAGCTGGGACATGTTTGCCAGTTTTTTCAACCAAGGCAAGCATCTCTCCGACGGAACTAAATTTTAATATGTGACAAAGTTTATTGGTGCGAAAAACTCAGTCAATCTGATTTCAGACGATTTGCTGCCTCCAAAATATCTACACAGCAGTTACTTTGTAGCCTTGTTTTGGACACTGTTCTGCTTGGTGATTTCTTCTGTGATTGTTGCCCGTTTGAATGCCAGACTGACCAGCTCAATACAAACGCCACCTTTCTCAACTGTAAAAGATTTTCTGGAGTCGGATTTCAACCCATTGGTCAATCGCGCTACCAACTTGGTATTGGTAAGAAGCTCATAAATAGGACAAAGGGCATGCTTATTTGAATTATTACTTGCTCTTACTTACAGAATTCAGCTGAACTGAAATCAGCCATTAACCGTAGCATTCTGTATACTGCTTCGAATTCAGCAAGGGATTTGATGCGCTACGGAAATAATATTTCGCAGACGGAAAAAATCACCATAATCTGCGCCATGGACGAAATTCCGGACTGCCAGAACGCTAGTTTTGCACGCGCTGCGCGGATTGGTATCTTCAACTTTGTATCGACATATCAATTGAAAAGGCATTCCCCGTTGTACAAGCCGTTTTCGAAGATGTAAGTAATAATTTCAAGTCAGTTGAGATTCCAGATAAAATGAGTATCCAAATAGATAAACGTTTCGTAGAATGCTGAGAATGTTCCAACAAGGAATTGTACAAAGAGAAGCAGCGGTGCACAAAACCATTACGTTCAACGCACAAAGGATCCGCGAGCGGAAAGTACAATGGGAATCACAAGCGGCCCCAGTGGGGATCCCGGCCACTGGTGCTGTATTCGGCTTTTTGCTCATTGGTTTCGCGTTGTCGATTATGGCTTTTGCCGTGGAGCACCACTTGCATAATAGAACATGCCAGTGATGGAGGCGAAGTTTGTCAAGATTGGTGAAGCCGGCTTCTTCCAAGTCAAACAGGGTTGCTGGTGCTAGGCCACATACAGTAGCGAGTTCCGCCAACGGTCCAGCGGCGGCTATTGCGGTTGGAGGTCCAACAGAATGATCATTCGGTGCGGCCGCGGCGTTGGTCTCTATAACATCTTCCATGCGTGATGGTGGAATGCTGTTATGGGCATCCAGGCGGGCCAGAAGGACGCCAGTATCATCCAACCCAGCGTCACGACATGCCTGCTTGAGCTGCGGAACCTTCAGCTTCTTCAGTTCATTCTTTGAAACCATGATTGTCGGCGATTGTCGAGAAAAGGTCACAATTTATTGCACAAATAAGTATGCTAGAGCAAAAAATTTGTTACTGCTGCAAAGCTATGAGAATCTGCTGCTAAGAGCTAAAATGATTGCTAAAAGCTAAAATTTTCTTCAGATAGCTGCGAAGGCATTAACAACGGCTGTGCAGCCGGTTGTTTATATACCTCATCCAGAGCTGACCGCTGGCCAATCTCCAAAAGGGAGGGCTTAAGTTGTGCCGCAAGCCAATAATGAGGAGATTCTCTTTTGGGGGAATCTTGTCTTTTTGATCAATATTAAAAGATTACTTCAATCACTGATGCACTGAACCAGAATGCCAGGACAGCCATTAGTCTCATTTTATTTGCTGCCGCTTGATAGTAATTAAATATATTTATCTTGCTATCTGTATCGAGAGAATTACCGTATTAAGTGCTAGAAAGGCTAAGAAACCGCGAGTGTTCCGTACAGGACCGTACTGACCAAATACTAATTCAGCAAATTTAACTGGACTGCAACAATGGAATCCACAGAAAGTCAGTAACTTTTCACTGAGTTACTACAACATGGTAGTGTATTATGACATAATAAAGAAAAGTAGTATAAACGGTTCTAAAAGAATAGATTTAAATTAAATCAGCTGTGAATGAGAAATTCCGCCATCTCGTCCTTTGAACAGGAGCATCGCAGCGAACGCACAGCGTTATCCCATGAAGTGTTTTGAAACGAATACCAGAGATATCCCTTCCTTGTTGGGGATAAAGTATCTGTAGCTCCCGCATAGTTTACTTCACTGTAAATCGTCAGAGCGCACCCCAAAGATACCTTAGCGGAACTGAATTTGTTTTGGGAAGCCTCGTGTAGAACACTTTCCGTTCCTGCAAGGACAGGTGTCTCTCTTTTTGTATAATTGGCCTCATACCATAAAATCGCGCACACTTTGTACGATGACTTGGGTATGGTTGGAGGACACTTATCCAGGAATCCGCTTGACTGCCAGTAACATCCGTTATCATCGCATAGATACAGGAATCCGTTGTCGTACAGTCGCAGTTCAGGCTTCAGCTGGCTGGATCCATAAGTGTCGGACCACCAGATATACGAGCCGTCCGCCGCATGTGCAGCTAAGTTACCGGTCCCATGCAGGGTTATACGGCTTATTGCGTTCCGGGCTACTGCTCTGAACGCTTGCCGATTATCACATCTGCGCCATACCACAATGGCTTTTTCCTCGTGCACTGCCAGGCTAAATTCCTCGTTTGGCGAGAGGTATGTGGATGATAGGTCCAAATCTTCTCCGGCTTTGATGATTACTGTTCATGAGATGTTATTGTTAGTTTCTCAGGTAACAACAAGTAACAACAATGTTAACTAGAGAAAACGAATCAGTGAGTATGTAACGATGATGCTGATTGCCAGCTATTTTATACAGTAATTTATTCATATGGCCATCGTGGGTTTTTATTGCCAAAAACTCTAAAGTTAAGTGTTGGCCACTAAAGAATTGCAACTACGGGTCACCGGCGGCAGACGAAATCAAGTTTAAATTTCAACATTAAGTTTTGCAACTGGAATACGGGTTGCATCGTGCACATACCTCTATAATTATAAGCTACGAGTGGAAAATAGTTGGTAGTTCGGTTGCAGCCGTTGTTGAGTTGACCGCTAGAGCGCCAATAACATCCAACTGCGTAGTTGCATAAATAGAAATATCCCGCATCCGATACAAACAGCTCGGAGCTTCGGTAGCTCCATGTTCCTGAACCCCAATACTGGAGCGGTTGCGCCTCCTCTGCAGTTGATGCTTCGATTTGAAATTGCCCATTCTCATCAAGCTCTGCTTTGACCTTTGGAAAACCCCATGTGAAGGTAGCAAAGACCGGTTTTCCGTCACATTCACGGTACATTACTAGGTTTTTGTCGGACTGAAGAATTAATCTGTGAGTTTTTAAGGGGGAAAAGTAGTCCTTGCCGGTTTCGAAACCTTCGCTAGTTCGCAAAGCCACTAAAAATATATAACATCGAAGTTTGATTTCTTATTTATTTTGATTTTTATTCGGTAACACTATTAAATTATTTTAATATTTGAAATCGCGCAGAAAGTTCTGTTCAGTCTGCGAAGAATTCTGACCGTCACGCGCATTGCACCTGTTGTAAACATACTCGTGCAGCAACCACCTTGACGCTTTTGACGTCGTTAAAAGCTAAACTGTATTTTACCTTTTGAGCACATCGTATTTTCCAGTGAATATTTTGTCCAATTAGTTGCCTGGAATTCTGATTCGCTTAAGCAACCATACGCGATCTTGATTTTCACAACATCAAGAAAACTTAGGCCATATTTCTGTCCAATGCATTGCGCCGGTTTTTTAGTGGGGATTATGGTCGGTTTCGTTTTGTCTTTTGCAGCAGCAAAAACTGGATAATGCATAATTGATGCGTAATCATAAGGTAGGCCAAAAGTGCGAGTATTTCGCACCCGAATATCAAAATTGTGTCGGTTGCCTGCATGCAGATGATCAGGTTAGAAACAACTGTCGAAATTGTTTTCCAATTTCCAGATAATGCATACCTTGTAGTATATTGTCGTAATTTATGCTAATGTGCTGGTCACGATCGGGACGACTCATTTCGTGTAAGAAACCTAGCGCATGCATCGCTTCGTGCTGAATGTCGCCCGGGTCCATAGCACACGCAGGAGAGAGCCGAAGCTGCTGTCCGCCTCCCTGACGCCCAAAATGAGACGAGCACCTGCGAAATCAAAGATCGCAGGTTGGTTGTGAAATAATTTCGGCATTCCGATACTTTCTGACAGGATGGGGGTAACTGCGTAACGTATTTTACATAACACAGCTCTCTTCTCCTATCTGGATCATATTAAGGCCTTGTCCCGAATTCAAAGCGAATCTCGCTATGGTACGGTTGCTCAACCGCACGAGGTGGCTGTATGCAGTGGCCACGCCTACAGATACGGTACGCAAAGCCACCTCGCGAGGTGGAGTTGCTGTATCGCAACGAGATTCGCTTTGAATTCGGGACGAGGCCTAAGTATTGATACGCGTACGCACTTTTTTATTATTTTTTTATGGCGTTTGCCGAATAAACTGATGCAGTTCTCTTCCATGTGCTTTGGGCATTTTTTTCGAGGATAAACTCAGTGATTTAAATGAGAAAAATTACGGAGAAGTGAAAGCGAACTATTCTGTCGAGGCTATTATCTAGGTTTGGGAAACCGATTACTCCTACGATTAGTACGCCTATCGGGCCATCGGCGTACCAGTAAACAGTAATCGGCAATATTTTATGTGTCGAACAAACCACGAAGCAGTCTATGGTCTTTGACTGATGTTTTCAATTATTATAAAATTACGTTGTACCACAGGTGAAATAAAAAACACTTCGTGGCATTTCCTCGCGGAAATAATTCCGTCGGTCGTGGTATTTATCGAGAATACATGAGACTTTCTATAGTCTATAATTATACGACTTGTTTCTGAACAGTGTACGGGAGTCAGTAACCAAATTGTGACACGCAACTGTTTTGCAACAATTTTGGAGGGTAGTTAAGTATTATACAATGTACGACGAGAGCATACTATTTACGAAGCAGTCCATTCTTATTTCTTGAATCAATTGTCGATTTTGTTTGCCATACTGCTGGGCCGCTGGCAAAATTTTGCCAGCTGTCTAGCAGCAACGTAGCTGAAGTGCGCGTGCGGTGGCCCATGGAGCACGCTACTGGAATGAAAATCTTCGAAATTCGTAATTTTGTAAATTTTAGTGTTAAATTCTTTTATATAAGTTTAAAAAATACAAAATAACGCATACCGTTAGGCAAAAAAACTGATTCTCAGTTTTTTTTTTATTTCTGGGTTATTCACTGTGAGCCTTTGCTGTTAACATAAGTACCTGTCTATGGAAGACTCATTCGAGATTTCTCATAGGCGGGCTATGCTGAGCACGTATGCTCTGCGTCCCAAACCTTGAGACCAAACCAGAAAATCAGTTATTCTTCCTAATAGTATATATTATTTTATCTTTTTAAGCGCATATAAAAAATTCAGCACGCAAAATAACAAAATTACGAATTTTTGAAGATTTTCATTCCAGCAGCGTGCTGCTGGAATGAGAATGTGCTCATTCTACCACCCATTTCCTGCCTGAAATGTTGAAATTAGCCCCTTAGGTGTGGATCGAACCAAAACTTAAAAAATTTGATATTTTGAAAAAACCCGTAACAGGTGCACTGTAACTGATGCAATCGCAAACAGGCGACGGTTTAATGCAGTTTCTCACGGCTGGTTGTTTCTCTCGGACTTGCAAGATAACTCCTTACTCTTGTGGCTCGATCAGTCACTGTCTAAAACAAACCAACTTCAAAGATTTAGAACATGCTGCTTTCTGTGACAACCTTTGTCGCTGCCAAGAATTTTCAATACATGCGGAATCACGCTTATGAAACGTTTAAGTTCATTTTGAATAAGTGATAAGAATGCAAAACCGATTTTGTACGTTTTACTCCACAGCCGCCTCCTTCAGTTTTTGTAGTGCTCGGGAACCGGCAATCAGTATTTTCCCTTGACCGGTTTCAACTGAAAAGGCAAATTCTAAATCAGAAAATTTGCTAAATTTCTGATTTTGTATCTTTGTGCATGTATGCGTTAAATGTTTTTGGCTTTTGCGTTAAACGTAAGTGCTAATATCCTTACAAAGTCCATGCTTGGGTGATTCAGCAAAATTGAATGAGTCGATAACACTCAAAGCTAGCGTTCAATTCGATGGAGTCTGGAACGCAACCAGCGGTCAGCGGCTTACTTAAGTAACTAAACCAACTGTGGATGGTTGCACAGTTACACTGCCAGCAATGCTAAACTACCCTCTTAAAAAGTATTAACCATTCAAAAACAAGCCGTATATACTTAGTCCTTGTATGCATAACGTATACAGTATCTTTATGTATGGATGACTCACTGCGCTCAGCAGGGTTTTGCCCTCCGGAAAATACTAAACCACTCCCCTAAAATGGGCGAATCAAAGGCGTGTAACATTTTGGTTACAAATCTCCATAGACAAACCAAAAACAAGACGTTAACACTATTCCTATGCGAAGACTAGTCTTCTTCTTTTCATACATAGTGTTAAGTCTGCATCTGTGTGCAGACCGACGTAATATACAGCAGTCTATGGTTAACGGCGACATGGCAGGTTCACCGTGTCGAGATCAGCATGAAACTTGGCTGTACAGATAACGCGCAAAAACGTGCTGTATTGCTTCGAGACAGTACGGTGGCTTACTCTGTATGCCGCAAGAATCGCACGAAATCCCGATGGTGGACGCGAGGAACGAATGTTACGCAGTGTCCGGTGGCGTTGGACATTTTCTGGAGGCTAGTCAAGATGGTTAGTCTTTCTTCTGCAGCTGAAAAGTTTAAAACATCCAGTTAGGCACTTCAATTAGTTACCTTCTTCAGTAATTTTAAGCAGCGTTCGGAAATGACTACTGACTGAACGATGGGGCGATTACAAAAGGTACGATTCCACCGGACCATCGCGAATATGAAGTATCGAAAAAGTTGTTTCCCGTATCTGCTGTCTGTAAAAATAATGGTACAGGCCTGCACAAAACAGTTTAAATCAAAATGAACAAATGAACAAAATTAATCAGTAATTCACGGTTACGGTGAAACTGACGTCCGTTTCGCTTTCGGTTAGGTCGATGCCCAGGATGTCATCCTCAAATTTTAGTTCAGCGGAAGGGTCATTAGTTGGCTTTCCGGCATATCGGTCCAAAATTTCTGGGGATATGTAGGATTCCCAATCTACACAACATTGAACACATTAAACAAAGAAATTAAACAAACAGTGGCACGGTTTAGTTTAACTTTTTACTTGGATTCTATCTTTACTTTGTTTTGTGCATCGATATAAAATTTATAACTGTATACACAGGCACAAGTTGGAACAATGTAGTTTTTCATCTAGACATCCGGTACATACCAGCAGGTAGCTCAGAAACAACGAATCCAGTGGGCCACGACAGGACGATGAAAACGGTCCAGATACACGACCAGTTTAGAACATTCCGCCAGACAACCAGCATGGTACAGTACCAATGGTTGCAGTTAAAAAATTAAATAATCAGCCTGAACAAAGTATATCAATGGTTTTGGTTGGGATTTTAGCCTCCAGAAGACAGCTTACCGTATGACTTGTTCTAACTAGCAGACTACAGGAAAGCAAACGTGACGGCAATCAGGTAAGATTTCCGGTGAGATTGACATAAAACCGATGCTTATCCGTGGTCTGGCTTTCGTTTTTCTACTGCCGGTCTCAGATACCGTCAGAGTAGCAGTTGCGCTTGTACTGCAGTGTACGCAGTTTTACCGCCCTTTGTACGCATGATCATGAATCATGACAAACTGCAATCTTGTGACGAACATCACGGTTAATAAGTCTATTGGTTACATGTACAGGCGCAGTCGTGCGCCTCTTGTGACTGTGTAATACCGAAAGAAAATGAACAGCCTGCCGCCGGTAGAGGGTTTATGGTTCACCGGAAGTCGTCTAATTACAAGCCAACAAAAGACTGTCCGAACCATTGTTAAGCTTCGGCGCCGGTGACCCGATATTTCCCAACAACCGATTACCCTGATTTTATGTTCCCCATTTCTCCCGACGAATTGTGCCAAGAGAAGCACCGGGGCACAAAACCATCGCGTTCCAGGCAGAGATGGTCCGAGAGCGAAGGTATAATGGGGAATCACAAGCGGACCGGTGGGATTCCTGCCACAAGCGCTGTTGGCGGCGTTCTGTTCATTAGGGCCGCTTTGACAGTCATTCCTTGTGCAAATAAGCACTAAGAATTTAGGTATTAGAAAAAGCCAGGTCGTCATAATAATAATTTAAAGAGCCTACAGCTGATTTTGAGAACCGTCCTACGCCAAAATAAACGATAGTATTATTCCGTAAATTTTCAACAGTTAGACAAGCAACACAACGACATATCTGTACAGGGCTTGTTACGTTGATTAGTTCAAAAATTAAAAATTAACGTGATTGATAAAGAGCCTAAGATATTGCTTTGCAGTGATCATCACATACAGAGAGTACTTAGTCGTAACTCGTAACTAGTTAACTTTTTCCCCACCCCGTATTGCTAGTTGTTGTTTAATTCGTGCTTCTACTAGGGATGGCAAAAACTTGAGTTTTCTACTTGACTTTCGACTCGGTTTTTTCGACAAGTAAAAATTTTCAAAATACTTAGAAATTCAAGTCAACTTTCAATACTTAACTTGGGAGTCCAAACCAAGTTATTAACTTGAAGTCGACTTCAAACCGACTTGAGTCGATTTGCAAATTTTCTTTACTGTACGTGCTAATATTAATGTGCTTACTCGATAACAGTCAGCCGGTCATATCTTTTTACCCTAGTGCGCGGTCCAGCATCGATAGATGCACAGATATCAATATAATTGCCGGTGCTGCCGCGCGCAATAGGGCAAAAAAGTCGCAAAGGTGATCGAGAAGACAGTAATCTTAACAAAATATTTTGAGCTTTATCGGTTTGCTTGAATATTTTCGAATTATTATAAAAAAAATCTCAAGTCGACTTGAAGCAGAACTTGGAGACTTGGTTTCACTTTCCAAGTCGACTGGAGTAACTTGGTTTGAAAGGATAAGTTCCAAGTATATTACTTGACTTTTTCCCCAAGTTTTTCGGAATAACTCAAGTTTTTAACTTGAAAAGTCGACTTCGCCAAGTTTTTGCCATCCCTAGCTTCTACATGAGGTTGTGTAAATACTGGAACTGGACATAAAAGAAAGTTAGAGACAATCGTGTTTATTGATAGAAGCATCGAAGGGAGAAGAGAGCACGACATACTGTTTCGATTACTAATCCAACAGTGCGAAGGTTCTAAAAACAGTAGCACTTTACTGATCGCGCATCATTATCATAACTCTGTCCTTGGAAACAGAACGCTTTATTTTCGTTGCCCGTAGCAGTGAACGCCGTGACATTCCCTTTAAAGTTGGTCAAACTGTATGTTACGAGCGTGCAGCCGACCGTCACAATAGTTGAGCTGAATTTATCCTGCAAATGAACTGACAGATCTCCTTGTTCATCGACAGCTATTGTCGTCTCCCCGTTTGAATAATCCGGATCCAGCCACAGGTATGCACACACGGGCTTCCGCGGAACCTTTTCTCCGGCGTACAATGTTGGCATACTTGTTGAAAGTGCCCGCCGTTTGAGAGAGCAATAGCACTCAACTGACCGTGCAGTATTATCGTAATTTTTATTATCAAAGATATAGCGACCATTTACCTCGGATGGGCTGAAAGGTGCATAAATTCCTTGGAAGTCGGTTACCGAGTAGATAGTTAGCTGGCATCCCTTTGTAACCCTTGCAGAGCTGACTTTATCATGAATGCTTGTATGCAGGTTGGCAGCAGTTCCTCTTCCGATTGGTATTTCGACTCCTGTAAAGTTTGGTTCCAACCAAAGAACAGCACACAGTCCTTCCTGCAAGTTGGGACGCTCTGCACCAATATCTGGTGTGAGTGCTTTATTTTCCGGATTTAGTCGAGAACAAAAACACCGATATGATTGTGCAGTATTGTCGTAGGATCGGCCTTGGAAAGAGTAGTGCAACTCGTTCTCTACAGTTGGGCAGAAACCCGTGGCGATTCCTCTGTAATTTTTCGAGCTATAAAATACCAGTACACATCCAAGCGTGACCTTAACGGAGCTGACACTGTTTATGGCGGCTTCGACGATATTGCCTTCTGTATCGGCATCTATATACCAGGAGCTCCCTTCGTAATTTGCATCCAGCCAAAAAAAGGCACATCGTGGAGCCTGGGAATAACTTGTCTCAGAAGTGAGCATCAACGTTGGGTCTCTTGGATGATTTGAACTGCAAAAGCATTTAATAGATCGCGCCGTGGTATTCCCATCACCCTCGAATAAAAAGAAAATATGACTTTCATTCACCGGAGAATAAACCGTTGCCTTTCCTTTGAAATTGATTAGAGTGTATGCCACTAGTGTGCATCCCGGTGTAACTTTAGCTGAACTAAATTTAGCATGGAGGCTAGCATCTAGATTGCTTTCTGCACCATTATTCACCAATGTTTCTCCCAGTGTAAAGTCCGGATCTGTCCATAGAACGGCGCACAGTGATTCCTGTTGACCTGCAGCTTCGATCGTTATTGTAGGAACCGACACTTGGTGATCACGACAGTAGCATATTAGCGAGCGTGCAGTATTATCCCAAGATTTTCCGAGCGAGCTGTACCATCCATATCCATCCCGGACAGGAGTGAAACTCGTCATATTTCCGAGAAAATTTATCTGGCTGTAAAGTGTTAATGTACAACCAAACGTCACCTTGACGGAACTGATTTTGTCCTGCATAGTTTTGTCCAGATTAAAATCACTGTTGCGAGCCACTACCGTCTCCTGTGCAGTGTAATTTGACTCCCACCACAAGGTAGCACAGACCGATTCTTGTATTTCCAAATCAGTTTGTTTATGTGGAACAGCGGCCACGATTTTCTGCCCTCGTGAACAATAACATCGCAGCGAACGGGCAGTATTATCCCATCCTTGGCCTTGAAACGTGTACCAGCGATATCCATCCTTTGTTGGGCCAGTTGAGGTAAAAGCGGTGGAAATTCCACCATAGTTCACATGACTATATAGCACCAAAGTGCAGTCCAAAGTTACCTTAGCGGAACTAAATTTATCTTGGGAAGTTTCGTATACGTTGCTCTCCGTTCCTGCCACGACTGGAGTCTCTCCTTTTGTATAGTTTGTCTCGTACCATAAGGTCGCACACACTTTGTGTTTGTGCGATAATTTGCGCGTATTTGCAGAACACTTATCCAGGAAGCCACTTGACTGCCAGTAGCATCCATTAACATCGCACAGGTAAAGGAATCCGTTATCGTACAGTCGTAGCTCCGGCTTTAAATGGCTGGATCCATCAGTACCCGACCACCAGACATACGACTGATCCGCCGCATATGCCACTAGATTACCTGTCCCATGTAGGGTAATGCTGGTTATTGCTTTCCGGGCCACTGCTCGAAATGCTTGCCGATTATCACATCTTCGCCATACCACAATCGCTCTTCGTTTATGTACTGTCACGCTAAATTCTTCATTGTAAGAGAGGTATGTGGATGAGAGGTCCAAGTTCTCTCCGGATTTGATGATCACTGTTAACAAGACATTATTGCTAGTTTGGTTACTTGTCAATTTCAGAAATTTTAAGGTGTGCTTAATAGGCCGGACAGTTTGCAGGCGTAAACATCTTTTCAATTTATTCGTCATCGTACACGGTTAGTGCTAAAACTACCAATATGGGATCTGTTTGCTAAATTATTGCAATTACAGTTAATTTTGTCGACATTGTCGCTGAGAAAGTCGACATAAATTTGACTCAGATAAGTCAGAACTCAGACCCCATCCGATTTTAAAAATGTCATCGTTTTTGCTATCTTTGCGGTACTTGAAGTAGTCGTCGTGTACCATCACCTGTGTAGTAATTATTTAGCTCCCACTCATTACCACTAAGTCTTATTATTTCGAAGAAAGACGAATTACTAGGTGATGACGATGTTTGTTGTGCTTGCTGTGGGTAATTATAATTATGACTTTATGGGATACATAAATAATTATTACTAAAGTACTGTACAAGTACTGTTACACTGCTTTTGTCCAGACTTTTGTACGGTGTGAATATACTGTACAGTGTAGGCGAGTGAGAGCTAAAGCCGATCACGTTCAGTCAGCAGCCTGGCCGCTACGCCGGCCAAACTTCGCCGCTACTTTTCGTGCAGGATACTATTAAAACTCAGAGTAATTACCTACTACTTACCTCGATATTTGTACGTTATGGATGGGAAATAGTTAGTAGTTCCGTTGCAGCCGCGAATATGATGGCCGCTAGAGCGCCAATAACATCCGTGTGCGTAATTACATAAGTAAAAGTATCCCGCGTCCGACACGAACAGTTCTGAGCCTTGATACCCCCATGTTTCAGAACCCCAGTATCTGAGTGGCTGCGATTCCTTTGCGCTCACATATGTTTCCATTTCAAATTGCCCGTCCTCATTCAACACTGCTTTGACTTTCGGAAAACCATAAGTAAAAGTAGCGAATACAGACTTCCCGTCACATTCGCGATACATTACGAGGTTTTTATCGGTTTGCAGGGTTAACCTGTGAGTCTTTAACGGGGAAAAGTAATCCTTGCCAATTTCAAAACCTTCACTGGGTCGCAAAGCCACTGAAAAGCAGAATTTATTGATGTAACCTTATTTAATTTACAAAAGCGTATGAGCAGTCTTGAGAACGCAGACAATCTTATATATTTATGATGCTGAATGAAATGATGTTTAACTATGCCGGCTCCAATGATTCTTTTTCACAGTTACTGTTGTCAGCCTTTTTTCTTGCACAGCCGCTATTTTGTCAATAATTTCGTGCTTTACATCGCGAACAAAATGTTATACGCCGTTCAAAACGATTAAGATGCTCTTGCATAAGTGTCTGTACCTTTCGAGCACATTGTATTCTCTTGTAAATATTTTGTCCAGTTAGTTGATTTGATCTGCGATTCGTCTAAGCAGCCATAAGCAATCTTGATTTTCAACACATCCAGGTAGCTTATGCCATATTTCTGTCCAATGCACTGTGCTGGCTTTTTGGTGGGAATTATGGTTGGTTTAGTCGTGTCTTTGGAGAAAGCAAAAATTGGATAATGCATAATTGAAGCGTAATCGTAAGGCAGGCCAAAAGTGCGAGTATTTCGCACCCGAATTTCAAAATTGTGCCAGTTTTCTGGAACGCAAAAATGGATGAAGTTTACAGAGTTGTTGAGAGTATTATAGGGTCACATTTTGGATCGTTTGTGACAGTTCATACGAGACAACTAACAAGTAATGCGCCTACCTTGTGGTATATTTTCGTAAATAACCTTTATATACTGGTCACGATCAGGACGACTCATTTCGTGGCAGAAACCTAGCGCATGCATTGCTTCGTGCTGAATGTCTCCCGGGTCTGAGGCGCATGCGGGAGCTAGCCGAATCAGCTGCCTACCGCTCGTCTGACGTCCGATATAGGATGAGCATCTAGAAATTTAAACATTGTGTGAGTAACGGTTTGTCATTTTGTCATACGTAAATTACTCACTATTAAGTTAAGAACTACTACTTTGATCAGCAGCCACTCGTCTATTAACCGAGGAATTCTAATTAAATAAACAAACGAATAAAGCCCTATTGCTGCTTGTGAATCAAAGCCGCGAAAGGACTGTTATTGCGAAAGGTCAAGCAACAGCGGCAGTATGCACAAAACATATCTGCTGCTTGCACAGTAGAGTTGCTGTCAGGCTGTGCAGAGCTGTCAGGCCGTGCTGCGACTTACTCTTTGCTGCGGACGAACTGCACGTAGTCCCGATGGTGCATGCGAGGAACGAAGTTAATGCAGTTCCCGGTGGTTTTAGACATTTTTTCTAGGGTCGTTTGGATGGTAAATCTTTCTTCTTCAGCTGTTAAAAGTTGAAATACGTTTCAGCATGCTACTTATTGACAACTTAGGTACTTCAACTTAGGTACTAGGTACTTCAGTAATATTAAGTAAAAATGATGAAACGATTACTGACTGAAGGCTGTGCTGATTTCAAAAGGAACGATTCCACTGGGCCAACGCGAGTACGAGGTGTCAAAAAAGTTATTATCTGTGTGCGACGCCTACAAAATAGGGTAACTGTATGCAAAACTAAACAAAAAATAAACATACAGCCACGCTGCAAAGCGAATGGTTCTACACAGTTTCCGCCGTTGTGGTGGAACTGACATTCATCTCGTTCTCAGCTAGATCGATGCCCAGGATGTCTTCCTCGAATTGCGGCTCAGCCGAAGAATTATCAGGCGGCTTTCCGGCATATCTCTCCAAGATTTCTGGAGAAATGTACGCTTCCCAGTCTAAACAAAAAATGTTTTAATAAGAAGCTGTTTTGTACTTCTATGTTTGTGGCATCGGAATTTAAAGATATTCGACCGAAGCGTAGCGAAGGTCATCTATGTTCAGCGAATATGGAAAATGTGGTGTCCGTCCGTCGGTCACCGCCACCAAATGCACATGTGCGCAGTGGCCGTTTCTTTCAAATGCACACATGCGCCGTGGCCGCATATATCTGTACTCCCGGCCTATGTAACTGGTGCTATCCGTCCGTCGGTTACCGCATATGAAAGTGAATAGATACAGTGGCCGTTTATACTCACGATACATACAATTTGTGGTGTCTGTGTGTCGGTCACCGCCACCAAATGCACATATGGACAGTAGTATTTGTTACTGGATACACACCAGCTCCATGGCCGTTATACTAACGCCCCATGAACTTGGTGGTATCGTCCGTCGGTTACCGCACACAAAACGGAAAGGGCCCGGTGGTGGCCGTTTATACACTCACGGCTAGTAATAGCCGTGGTGTTATTTCTTTGGTTCCAATCCCCTTTGGTTCCGGTGCGCTATTTACTAACTAAGTATTATCCTTATGCAGATGTTTTTCCAAAAATACTTTAGAATACTTGAGCCGCTCGATGATAAAGCACCACCTCGTACGGAAAAAAGTAACACGAAGCTCCATGTGCGATGTTTGTAATGTGTTGCGTATGCGGCGAAATAAAAAAAGCCAAAACTACATCCCTTGCCATTTCTGTGATAGATAAAATTTAAAAAGTGTTGTCTAACAATGCCTCTACGTAATACCGGCACAGTCATCTTCGGGCTCTGCTAACCGTCCGTCGTAATTTGTCCCAAATATATGCCGCCCTCTAGGTTTTCTAAAATTTGCGACTGTGACCGGTAGAAACGTCCATCAAAAACTCTTACCAGACTCTCTGTTGCCCCCTCGCCTGACCATCGTTGAAGAGGCAACCTTCGGCAAGAACGATGAAATGAGAGTTTCACACCGAAATCGTAATTTTTGAACAATTGCCGTAATCTATTACCTTTACATATAAATACCTAAATTGCAGCCAGCGTAGACTGAATATCACCAAGACGAAACAAAATCTTCATCGAAAAATAATTCTTATATTAGAAAAATTACTTAGAATGAATGAATCAGAATGAATTCTGCTAAATTAGAAACATTATTGAAAAGTTGCCATGTGTGTGTTGCTTTAGGGAATTCAAAAACTTTCTGAGATTCGAAATGTGATTCCAGCATGAAGAACTTTACTTGCACAGCTAAAGAAACTGTCCGGGAAGAATTTACGCAGTTGTAAGAGCAACGAAATGTTCGTATCTGTCTGGGCGGTTTTACCGGTTATGGATTTTTGGTGTACTTTTTTGTTGTATGTACCGGCTATAGATTTTTGCTGTAACATCCATTTTACTAATTTGCGGTAGCTCTGCAGAAGATAAAGTGCTGTAAACGAGTTCAAAATATGCTAATAATTGTAAACATCATATAATGCAACGGCACCGGAAACGTCCTAAATATGAATCTGTCTTATATTTATTACGTCTATCTTATATAGGGGAAAAATGTGTCTAGCCGAACCAATCCCTTGTACTTCTGATGTAAGCCAGCTGGTGGTTTACGTTGTGGCTGCACAGCGTTTTATGTAAAGCGCTGCTATTAAGACTGTGCGGCATTGACGGTACATGTGGTATTAGCTGCACCAGGCAGGTCCGGGCTATAATACAGTTTTAGCCTGTTTACCTGCAGTTGTACGAGTGCAGCTTACCTGTTATCAGTACCTGCAATCTTAATAGCAGCGCTTTACATAAAACACTGTCAAGCCACAACGTAAACCACCAGCTGGCTTACATCAAGTACATTGGTTCGGCTAGCTATATTCCTGCTACGCTTCGGTCATGCAGTGCCCGCCAAAAGCGAGTGCACTTTCCTAGTACACATTTTGCACTGATTCTTCGAATCCGCCCTGAAACATTGTCGAGGCATATGATTGTATAGGCATAATATGTATTACTAAATCTTAACATTTAGTACTAATATTACTAAATATAATATTACTACACCTTAATATTAGTATTATTTAAACCTTAAGGTTTGGTAATATGATGGTATAGGGTAATGTTGTGCCAAGTGATTAGACTGTAAGGAGGAGTGGGCACCCCGCTACATTTCTGCTACTGGTCCATTTTGCACTTTCCTAGTACATTTTGCACTGAAATCCGCCCTGAAACATTGTCGAGGCATATGATTGTATAGGCATAATATGTATTACTAAATCTTAACATTTAGTACTAATATTACTAAATATAATATTACTACACCTTAATATTAGTATTATTTAAACCTTAAGGTTTGGTAATATGATGGTATAGGGTAATGTTGTGCCAAGTGATTAGACTGTAAGGAGGAGTGGCCTCTCCGTTCACCCGCGCACAGGCGGCTGCTAGGTTGTTTTGCTGTTTTTGCCGTGTTTTTCTCCATCTACCAGATTCTAAATCTGGTAGATTCTTCAGTTGCTAGATTTCGTCGTCTGAGCTGGATGTGCCCCGCAGCAAGGTGCTGCGGTGGCCTTTGATGTGATGTATGTGAGGGAGATAAAGTGTGCAGTGTGTTGGCGTTCAGTTTCCGTTTCTGTTCGCGCACAGGGGTGAACTAGCCGTTCATCCCATGTTAGAAGACAAAATCAGACAAACTGCGGCAGCAGCAATACCAATTAAAATATCAATGACCGCCTCGTAAACACAGCATGGGACGGCTGTTGTTGTTGCCATTTGTGTTGTACTGTACTGCTGCAGCTTGCCCAAATTGTGTATTTCGTATTACCTAACTGCCGTTTTGCTGGTCTTCACATAAGACAACCATGCCGCCGAGAACGATGTTTACGTGCGCCTAATTAGCTAAATCTGGGATGGCCCTGGTTCGTCTCAAGCGTTTCAAGTTGTACAAAATAACGAAACTCACGGCATGCTTAATCACAAGGTTATTCCAGAGCGGAGCAACGTTTGCAGCTAGGATTGAGAGAAAAAGAGGATAAGCAGAAAAACAAGCACGTACTTAACTAAATTCCAGAAGTACAGAGCAAAAGCGGCGAATTTTAACTGGTTGACCTTTTGGGTGGGCAAAAAAAACAATCTGGCTTTTGGCAACAAAACTTTCTCAAAATGTTCATTAGCTGTCAGAATAGACTTTGTTGTTCTATTATCTTACCTGATTTCCTATTTGCCGCCCTTAAACAAAACGTGAATGCTTATTTAAGCACTCGAAAAATTTCAAGCTAACCAGTAAGTAATCGTAATCAGCTCATGAGCATGATCAGCCAAATAAAGCACAAAATGCTTTATAAAACTTAGTACTAAGTCTCTTACTAAGACTCTTAGTCTTGCAATAATTTGTATCTGTGGCTGTTTTTGAGACGGCCCGTCTCTACCTGTTGGTAATTCTGAAGCAGTGCAGCCTCTGCACCACGCCAGGACGACAAATGTACTCCATACAAACGACCGGTTCATGATATTCCACCGTAAGCCCAACACAATTTAAATTGTTACTCGTATTTTTAAAAAAATAACAAAATTAATTTAAGTATTCATACCGAGTTGGCTACTGAATACCATACCACTGATTAGATTGATTTAACTGAAGAATTGCCTACAGAAAGATCTTACCTATTATTAATTTTCTTCTAACCCACTACAGGAAAGCATAATCGCTGCAAAATCTTTCAGTATTTCCGGTGAGCTGTACAAAACCGATGCTTATCCATGGCTCGCCTTCCGTTATCTTCTATCAGATATCGTCAGAGTGCAAATTGCGCAGTTGCCGTTTGCGCAGTTTATCTGCGCTTTGTCCGAATAGCCACGACAAATCACAATTTTACCGGAATTACAAAGTACACCTAACTTCCCATAAATCATAAATGCGTAATCCACTGCAAAGTATAATCGCTCAGAGTTTTTTTGGTTCTGGTGCTATGTCCGGCGATGTTTCTATTAGATCCGTCCCATGCTCGCGACATCCGCCGCAAAAGCGCTGGTTGGCTCAAGCACAACGTCTTGATCTCAGCTCCAACATTGCGCGCTGGTGCAGTGCTGCATGCGCATGGCTGTACTTTACGTAACGTACAGCCATGCGCATCGGAAGCTAACCGCACGACAAAGGTTCCAAGAGGAAACCGGCGAGAAAAAGCCCGCGGAATATTTACCCCATCAAATTAGCATCGAAATCCAACGAGGCACCTATTGAGGGAACGGTGCCGATTGGGACCAATTAAATTAATTTGGGTCGAACTTTGATCCAAATTTTATTACACCTCGACCGCCTAGGAAGGTTGATTCAGTATAATGTTACTAAGGTTGTTGTTCAAACGAATAATTTTTAAATTAAATAAAACTGTGTATTCATAATTCTGTTTAATAACAAACGCGTATTCCTTTGCTTAAGAAATCTCTAAAATTGCTGTTCTAAACAGAAAAAGGTCACTGCCCTCTATTCTTCCTGACTACGGTGGTTCTTCCTTCTTACGAATCACAATTTCTTAATTAGGTTGGATTTTGCGCGGGGTGCAACCTTTGCATCCTTTGTATTTTTGAAAAGTAATGCACGGACTGCGCACACGATGTGTGGTTTTCGCTGCTCGCCTTGACCTTAATTAAAAATCATCCCAGCTGCTGCACGTTACACATCTTAATTGCGCAAATTGGCTAACCAAGCCGATCATTAAAGGCGAGAACAACAACGCGATAGTGCCACAAATTGTGAGCAGGAGTGTGAAGCAGCTCTGCACACCGGCAGTTAGCCTTCAACACCGGCAGTCAAGCGCGACACTGTCCGTCAGCGAAAAAACAACACAGAATGAGATCAGGTACTGTACACACAAATACTACACATCGCTGTCAGCGCCAAATGCAATCGACCGGCAAATCACATACAGCACACCGGGCATTAACCAAATAAAATCGGCAAATAATATAATTTCATCATTAGCCGATTCATGGATCTGTATGCGCATTGTTAAGTGTTGTCTAGGGTTACACAATCAGCTGATGTCTTGTCTATGATGGGCAAAATGGGAGGCGGAGTTTTTACGGTGGAAACACCACGAGGAATGCTGTCGAGCATATTAACCGGCTTCCTGCTACGATTTTACCGTAATTTTTTATGGAAGCCTAAAGATTTATTTTATTATTATATGTTAATTTTCGAATTTTACATAGTTGACGCTATTATGCTTTATATGGGCACTTCAAAGCGGCGGTGTATCCTTATTATTAAAACGTGAACTTCACGCATCAATAACCGCTGATAGTTGTATACTTATCCTCGTGACAACATAATAAACGCCATAACCACCACAATCTGACTTCCTAGTACACGCAGCACAATTTCCGCCGCATCTTCCACCTCCACACGCAAAACACAGAGTGCATGCGTTGCCGCTACCGCAGCCCCCAGATTCACTTGTGTGTATGCGTAACCTGCGCAGTTTGTCGCTTTGATAAACAAAGTGGAGAAAACACACGCATTGTTCCGTCGCGGTATAATGGTAATCGGGGGCGGAAAAGATGCGGATAAGGTAATATTTATTAAGCAGCGGTGGAGGAGACTACGCGGCTATTCAGCAGTGGTAAATGATACCGGGCCACTGTGCTCTTACCGCATCACACTCAAGTGCCATTTGGAGACTTTTATGAAACCGCGAAATGACCATTTGGTTGTCGAGAGGCCTGTTTACTGTGACAGCGCTAATTGTTTTTGTTCTGCTTTTGAGATGACTAGGTATTGTATGCGTATTTATGCATCACACCAGCAGAAACAACAATTAATCGCAATTATAAAATTCAGCGGTGTCAGATTTTCAGAATATTATGGTGTATGTATTTTATCTGATGAGAATAAAGTCTTCTCAAGTCGGATAATATGCGGTAAAATTAGTACATTTTGTCGAACTTAATAATATACTGCCTTTTATTGTCGAACATGATATAATGCATAATAAACTTGGTTGTTCGACGCTGTACAGTGAAATGTGTGGAAAGCGTAGTGCACTGCCAATAATGTGTAAGGGCTTTACGTAAGGTAAAGATAAAGGTGGCATCGAACTGATTGCCTGATTTTGCTTTATATTATAACTAACATTGATTTAACGAAAAAAAACTTTTTCGGGTTTGTCGTTACACAGGGAAGAAACAAAAATTACAGCCTTATTACTTACAGAATAAAAGGATAGTTTTTGGCTGTAGCTGCCGAGTCTACTACTGAAGTTAATCTTTTTACACATAATTCTTAAATTTTTCCGTTTTCCAGGGCATTTAGCACTCCTGAAAGTTCATGGTAAAAGGAAGAATATGCATGCGCTCTTTGTACTGGACAGTGGACATCCGCACGGAAATAGTTACTAAACTTTTTTCGTTTAAGTTAATACGAGAAAGAAGCCATTACTTAAAAAATTATAGTGACTTTGTTGTACGTCTCATTGTATCTATAGAATATTATTTAATAAATCATACGTAAGACTGGTCACGACAGTTTAATGCGCGAAATGATTAATACAGGAAATCTAGATATGCTACCTGAAAGACTTATCCCGCGATCCTGGTATAACTGAGATTGGTTAACCACTTCCCGCCGTACGACTTGAGCACCGCCCACCGGCGCACTGTACAACGCAATAATACGTCTTCATTCAAAGACACCGTATGTACCTTTACACAACAACACCGCAGCACTACAAACCGGCAGCTCTCAAATGTCGCAGCCGATCGTGGAGCTGTCGATCAGTTGGAGAGCGCGGCACTGTACTATACGCTGGTTATAGAGGGACAATCACACTGACCGGTTTCTGCTTACAGCACACCAACACCTGATCGCTTCCTATCTGATCATAATATTCTTCTCTACTATGCACTAACTGACCAGCGCCACTGCGCGCCGGGGGAATCTGATCGAGGCCTTCCGCTCTTTGCGGTCGGGTTCTGCCATCAGCTGACGAGAAGTGCAGCCATTCTGTCACAGTGTCGCTCTGTGTGTGTTCGTTCGTTGGGCTCGAGTGGTGATCAGTTACCGGCGCTACAGCGGAAATCTGGACGTTGAATTGTCTGTTATTATTTTTTTGGCCAACAATTCGGCCATTTTCGTGTTCGTTGGGGACAATTTGATGTGGGCCGGAAAGGTCACTGATTTACAGTTTTTATTATCCAAAGCATTGTGATTTACCAACCGGATCTTTTTGTTCCACTGAGCTAACTTTCGCTGATTTTTACCGAATGGCCTAAACCATTGGGAGAAATTATTTTTATATTGATATCTTGTTGCTTGCAAACTGCTTGCTATGGAAGAGCTTGTGGATCCAAAGCAGCAACCCAGGGCGGTGTTTGTTCCATTCCCGGGTTCGCGTCGACGGAATACTAGCATGAAACGGTGTCGATCCGGAGTTGATGCGTAAGTAGCAACTCTATAATTTCTCCAAATTTGACAATAATTTTAAATTATTATACATGTAATGCGATATATTTTTATGCTGTTAATTATTCTGTAGATAACAATATGATAATCGAAAAATCTAATATTGTGCGATATTCGTATTCAAATCAATTAAAAATTTTGCAGTCATGTTGCATGCTTTGCCCGTAGAATTTTTTAAAAAGAAAACATTGTGTTGGAAAAAGTTTTATTAAATATTGTTAGTGTTTTTAATGGATTTAATTTCGCTTTCAAGCAGCGGTGTATTTCCAAGTTCAGATCAACGAAAATATGGTTCAGTTATGTAGCACTATTAAAAAAATTACAAAACCATCTACTGTTGTCCCAATTGTCGGCGAAGTGTGCCGGCAAAACCACCCCAACAAATTGATAAAAGTGGCAATTACCGGCGCACAGTGCAATCAGCGACGCCGTGTATATACCTGTATTGCCCAACGGCTGCAGCGTCTGGCGCAGATTGCACTTGAGTGTCGTTTTTTACCGCTGAGGAATGCCTGTCAAGTACACGCTCAAGTGCGCATCCTCTGCACAAAGTGTTACACTAATCGCTTTATTTATGTCCGCTAATTATTCCCATACAGTCAGCCGCGAAAGCATTGACAATCAAGAGGAGAACTTTCTTTTGGCTAAACAACACAAGTGCTGTTGTTTTATTGTGTGTGTTCACCGCGTTTGGCCCGACCGGCGCGTCGAAGTGAATAGTGGCAAAATATTGCCGGCAAATTTTTAATGGATTACATAAGCGGCGGTAGTTGAGATTTGACAAAAATTAAGCCAGTTAATACGTACTTTTACCAGAGATTTTCGACGCAAAAATACGTTTAGCTGGCGACTAAGTTATTGCAAAAAAAGGATGATTATTACTGCAGAAAAATCTAGGAAAAAGTGGGATAGAAATTTAAATACTGGTGATGTTACGACACCGACATATGCTGGTCGGTCAAACTTAATAGAAAAATAAATTGTGAATGCAAAATAAAACCGATTTTACAAAGGGGCAGTTTAATATTCATTTCTGTTAGAAATATTTTAGATTCAGTAACAGTCTAGTTGTTCTAAGAACCAGACTTCAATTTTTACGCATTTCGTAGAGTTATGGCGTTATAAGGTGATCAAATACATTTTACACGCGGAACGAGGGTAGGCAGAGCGTAATCAGCTTGTAAAATAAGTGCACTACCAATACAAATAATTTTACATTTTATTTTACTATTTATATGTACAACTGCCCGTTTTTTTAAAGATTCTTGGAAGGAAATTTGAAGAATATAAAGCGCAATGGTTTTATTTTTTAAAAATATAATTATACGAAAATGTCAAAAGCGCATAAATCAAAATTGATTAAAACAACCAAGCCTGATGGCGGTCTGGCGAACCTGCATAAAGTTCGCCGTTGTACAAGAATATATTATGATCACTACTGGTCCGCGCTCGTTAATCTCCATCAAGAAATCCTGTTGTTTTATGAGCCAATGATACCGGCATCAACCGCAAAAGGGAGAATGCATCAACCGCTGTGGCTGATTTAAAATGGGTCGATGCTCGGTCAGCCGGTGACATTTTAGTGAAAATGCCGAGCACCTGTCATAAACAATTGCCGCGTCGCTGCTACATGAAACCACAACATGTACTCGGTGTGTCAGCGCTTGATATATACGCGTTATGTCACAATTGCCTTGACCAGCATTTTTTCTTCGTCCGTCAAAATATTTTGGCCCAAACATAGTAATTTATGATAGTTACATCGCATTATGCCGATTGTTTGTGCAATGATCCATTTCAAAGAAGCTCAGTTTTAAACCGGCGAAAATTGCTCTGGACAATGCGCGTCCGGACGTCGTAATTGATGATTTTGGTGTGTTTTATCTTTTGGCTGATTAATGCAAATAATGGCTTTGGACGTTCGTGATGATAATTAGAAGGAAATAAATTATTTATATAAGATAAAAGATGCATTAAATATTTTTACTGGGCAACAAAAATTAATTGCATGTTTCTGCTAAATTTTTAATCTAGTTTTATATTTATGCTAAGTTTTTAACTTAGTTTTACCAATATTATTCGTATTTTCGCCACTGTTAAAATTATTTTTCAAACTATGAAATCGAAGCAATGCTTAGAAATTGTGCGCTGGTAAATTCAACACATTATTTATTTTTTAAAAAGAGTACTATCATTTCCCTTACATGTATCAGTTTTATCGACTACAAAATAATAATTTTATATAATTACCAAATCTACGTAAAACAAAGTACATATTTAAACCATATAAAATAATTTGTATACAATTTTTATATAAAATTTTTTTTATCGATTAATTTTCTGATACAATACACGCGATGAGTGGATTTTAAATAAAAGGAAGCCGAAAGTTATAATTAGAGGAGCAACTGTCATCCATTGATTGGATTACATACGTCAAGTGCACTCAGGCACTTTAGCAATTGGTCATTCGGTGGCAGAAATAAAAAAAGATAAGTAGATCAAGCGGATATCTTTACAAGCGTGTTTCATCTCTGCATGTTCGCCGGCTTCCAGCAGCACGATCACGAGAGAGATAGAGAGATACACCGCACGATGATGAAGATGGCCGCAGTAGCGAGTCAGCAGCGCGTGCGATGCCTAATTGCCGGGACGTGGGCAGTCGTGCGCAGCCTAGTGCAGTGGCTACAACCATTTACCGACACTCAGCGCAACAAAATACCACGATTTAATCGCTGTTTTCTTTTCATCAATATCCCATTCGCCCGTTGATGCGCAACCGATGCGCAATTGACGGAAATTTTCCCTTGTTGGTTCATTGCTTTTTATTTGTCCAGCGCTTTTTAACAGCAAAACGGCAACAAATGACTAACAACGCCGCCTGTAAAATATGCCTGAAAAATCCTTATTCTAACCTCAAAACGTCAAATTAAAATTAAAAGGTCATACATTTTATTTTTTCATTTATTTGCATAAGCAGCAGTTTATTATCCATTTAAATACAAATAAAAAATTTTGTGCAACTAATTATTATCTTGTGTAAATTCAATATTAAATTCAAAAATATTACTTATATAAAGAAATTTAGGGAAATTCTATTTGGAGGTTTGCACAATAAGCTGAAATACTTTGATCAAGCGCTGGTTATTGAGCGCACTACAAAGTGCATATCGATTAATTTCCTCCGTATTTACGATTGATACCGTTAGGAAGCACGAACTACGCGCAGATGAGTCACCGCTGTGTTATGCCATATACCGGCGCATATTTATGATGATCCCCACTTCTCTACCTGTGCATATGCACCGCTGCAGCCACTTCCGCCGCGTTAGACGCGCACTGTATAACCTACTTTCCCATCCCGGTGTATGCCATCGATTGCATCCGCCATACTTCTCAAATTCTCCTATTTTTCACTCTCTATCGATTATACATTTGGGCAACGTTAGGCGTTATTATGATTAATTCCACCATATTTATCCTGTTACGAACACTTTATTAGAATTGTTAAATAAAACTTATACGCATATTAGTGATTTTATTGAGGCAGAAAATTAATATGAATTGTATGCTATGAAGAATGTTGAAATATGGGGCGGAAACTGAAAAGATGTGTTCGCAGAGTGCGGGATTTATTGGCTCCTTGCCTGCAGAGCCCCTGTGCTACGATGGCCAGCGTCGTGCTGGTGGTGGTCGAAGGGGTGCTCATATTTCTTCTCTTGTTGCTGGACATCTCCATTCAAGGTAAGCAGAATGTCAACTTGTCAATACAATGTCTTCACTATGATTTTTTTCCCGCAAATATCACTTTGGTTGCTGAACTAAAGCTAAGCCAGGCACGCAAGCTTAATAAAGCACATATTATGTATCTCAGTATCTGTTGTATCTGCGTAATACAGTATGCATCTGTTACTGTTGCATATAAATTTATAATTTGGTAAAGTGATTTCCTTATCGAAAACAAGCGCTTTGACGTTTAAAATTTATATTACTTGCAAGTCTACATTTTTTTTAATGGTTTTTCTACTTGTATTTTTTTCATTTTTAATTAAATGCTAGCAGAATTTGCTTACATAGTTATTTGCATTTTATTCATACGAGCGGACTTTAGTTAAACATTTAAAAAAGTAATTTCAGTGAAGATGCAGGCACTGCTATATTTTAATAAAATAATGTAGAAAGTTTAATTCATTACCAAACCTTCAAGTTCAGTGATGATTTTATAGTAATCTTTTTCTGCAAAGAAATTCATCAGCGGAACCAGCAGGAAAAGTGTCATGGTGTTTGATTGACAAATCAGTACATGTAAAGATACCGGTCGGACATGTCGCGTTTAATGTAGGCGCTGTTTGGCGTGTGTTTTTTATGTAACATGTTGACATTGCGCATTGTCAAACACTCATCAATGCACACTGGTCCTTGCATTAGAGCGCACAGCGTATAATGGAAAACCTTGACAACAGATAAAAAACTGGACACTTTACCATTAACAACCACACACCGGCTTATTGTCAGCGCTAAAGCAGGTGCAACAAGGTTTTTTTGTCGGCGTTTAATCACTGTCTTTATGCATTTTATGTGCATTCCAAACCCGCTTACCGAATATATCATTTCCGGATTTTTAATTATTCCAGCTCCACGGACCGGTTGGGCTACTCTTAATTAAATGTAAATCGACGGGATCGTGGAAATTCCGGCAACACCCTTTAAATAATGTCCATTCTTTCATGCTTGCACATAAACTTGTCGATAATTTAGCGATAAATTATAATCGCAAAGTAAACTAACAATGAATCTTGTAGCTACAATTTCCGGTAAAACTGCACACTTCGTCGTGTAAAGCATATGGGTACATGAATTTTTATTTATTTTCATGGGCAAAAATTTTGTAATTTAGAATCATATTTAACAAAGAGGATAGATAGATTATTACAGAATCTGTTTTGCAAAGTTAACAGCGAACAGGTAAAACGTTGGCGCTCAGCGTAGTGCAGTGCATAAAACTTTTCAAAATACTGCAGAGAATCTTATAAGGTTGCTGATCAAAAAGAACGTGATTAACATTTCTAAATATTTTTATTTTTGCTATGCATAATTCTCCGCCTAATCCTCTAATCAACAAACACTACAGTATAAATTTTCGTCCCTGGATAAACAATTATTTTCGACGAGAGGATGTGAATGTTTTTTCTGTCAACAAATGTTTATTCAACCTCAATGCGATAATGCCGATAATTTTAATATTTTCATATGGATAAGCGCATTGTTGCAAACCGCAGCACTCAGCGCAAAAAGCGGCGCTGAATGCAAAATACTGCACCGGCAGTCAATTGCGTGTATAATCCCATTAACACGGTATATACCGCAATATATGCAGCTAATAATCAGATTACATGGACGGATATATACGGCAGCACTCACACACTCTCTTGTATTCCCGCGCTCGCTCGTTGACACCTTTTTGGCTTAGAAATAATTTGCGCAAATAATAATGGCCAAGTATGCCAATAGTAATTGGCCAAATTACCATAAATCCAATGTCGTTGCGTGCAATCAATGGCTGGGCTCTTTACGAAATGCCGGTTGATCGGTCGTTTGGCGCAAGCCACTATAATGCGGCCTCATTAGAAAAACACTACACCTTTTCTTTTTCCACAATGGCGTCCTGCTGACCGACCGTAAAATTTGTTACAATTAATTTGCACAAGAAATGTTTGTTTTGTGCGCTCGAATTTACAGCAAGTAATTTTGCAGAAATTTGTTATCGTCCGTGATTTATCGCTGAATAAATGAATTAATTAAATATATTAAACCAGCATGTGGTTGTTAATATAACGTTACCATTACGAACGTGTAAAGGTCAAGCCTGTTAATGAAAGGTTAAATGTTTGTACCAGGACATATTTTCTTTGATAATGTATTCAAATTATTTATGATGTTCCCTACATTGCGACGTTCACAGTATTATGTTAGCAAGTTGCGCACGTTCTTCAATGGGAAAGAAGCAAGTGTTATTGTAGACTACTTTACGCTTATGTGAAGTATGTTGTAAAAAAAGAAAACAGGCTGGCTGTGAATGGCGGAAACTGCAGTGAAAGCAGTTGATACGGCTAGTGAGATGCATATGAAAGAGGTATCCTGCTGATGGATTGCAAGGGTCATCTTTCGGTTAAAATAGCACCGCAGCCATACATTCCATTAACGTGCCAAAATATTATTCAAATATTTTTATGAATATTTTATAATTTTAGATTCATTTCGCGCATTGTCCTGCTGGAATTCCACCGAACACAATCTTACGGGGATACGTCTGACTGCCAGTTATATTGGTAGGTTAAGTGCCGGTTTACGCTACAACATGTTTACGTATTTTCTTTCGTCTTCCTTGTTCGCTGAATTACATTAGGAATTTTTCAGAAGATGATTTAAAAAGGCCAATGCAGTGCACATCTACAGCACTGTTATGTGCCTTCCTCTTAGAGGTAAGTGGTGCAGTTCTTATTGGTTATGTGATGTCGAGTTTTTAGCCGACCCTTTTAATGAATATTAATTATAAATAATTAATGTATCACCCATTGGATTATTTATAAAAATATCGCATTTTTCATATTTATGGATGCCATCAGAACTTATTTCAGAAATATGCAGGACATTAATAATAAGATCGCAACTATTATGCATCACTTTGCCATTGCTCTACAATTCCTTCTATCGCTGGTTTACTATGAATCCTTGTGTGAATTTTTTTTTTGTGTGAATGAATCCTTGGGTCAACTTTTTTTTTAACACATACAAAGTAAAAGAAATGCTATAATAATACGTATATTTGCTCGAAAACAAATTTGCAAAATAAAATATAAACCATGTAATTCTTGTACCTTCCACAAAAATCTATTTTTTTGCGCAAGAATTTTGATACACTGATTTTGTAAACCCTTAACGATGAAGGTATCGTTTGCGAGTTTGAAGGTGTTATTCTCGGGCAGGTATCACTCCGCTCTTTCGTTTCCGGTCGGCATCTGGTGCGCAACTACTGGGAGCTCTTCGACACGCTCATCACGCTGCTGACCTTTTCTCTGAATGTCGCCGTTCTTGCCAGTTACAGCGTGGGCAAGCAGGTTAGCCTGTTTATAATTCTCTTCCGGCTGTGGCGCATACTGGAGCTGCTGGGTGCCCCGCTGTCCAAATACCGCTACACCAGCGACGCCCATCTGGACCACACCTTCTCCACGACATCTTCCGTGGCCACGGTGGAGACCTACGTGGCGGAGCAGAATATCGCCACGTTGATGCTCAAGATTGAGGAGCTTGAACGGGATATGGAACGCCTGCAGACGGACAACCGCCGACTAACGTACGTTACAACAGAAAATCAAGTGATGTCGGTGGATCGCACAGACAATTATTTGCGCATTACCTTATGAAAACTATGCGGACGCACTGAGAAACAGAATTACAATTTACAGCTAAGAAAAAATTTGTGAAAGTAGTAGCCTGAACCTAATTTCATAACATTTATTATTTTTTGAATTTGTTACGATCCTAGCCCATGACCCAAGAATTTGCCACTGCACTACGACAGATGTTACAAAAATCATTATGTTTACGAACTACGTATCCGGCGTTTCATCAGTTTTAATATTCAAATCCGTTCGCACATGGGTTTTTCTTAAATCCTCAGAAGCGTAAACTCATTTTTGCATTGGGAAATGCCTTGCTTGACTGCAATTATGTTCTCCGTTTGTGTTTGTTGTCGCCATAATTCAAACTGGCATGGGATAAGGATTTATGGCTGCAACAGAACACATTTTGCACAGCATTTTCTCCCATTTACAGCAATAGCGAGTTGATGTTTCTTTCAACCGGTTGAAAACAAGTTGAACAACTGCCAAAATCAGCCGTATGTAATAGTATCCTTCTGTATTTTCGAAATGTAGGTTCGACCAGCGTAAACTCAAATCCCTCAACCACTCCCTCATCCAGCGCATCCCTTCCGAATCCCCGCCCGCCCCGCCCACCGACCCCTCCGGTGTGACGCTGCGCCGGCGCGAGACCAAATGCCAGCGCTGTGTCAACCACAACTGGACCACCGATGACCTTTTAAAAATGGCCTGCATGCAGCTGTCCCGCTCCGACTCGCGCTTCCGTGAGGATCTGCGCACCGCGAAATCGCTGGAGGAACTGAATCTTCCGGAGAGCGGCTACAGCTCCGCCCAGCGGAAATTCCGCCCGGAGCGCTACCCCAAACTGCATTACGGGCAGGAGCACGTGATGCAGCCGTTGGAGCTGGCGGTACAGTTGGAAAGTATGGCAGCCGCCAAGGATGGGTGGCTGGAAGAGTGGTCGGAAATCAAAAGGATCTCACAGATTGACTGCCCAGATTTTAACCAAAGCGTACGTTCCCGAGCACTGTGCAGCCAATGTTTTTTATGGCGTGGCATTAATGAATTTTTTTTCAGGATGTGCGAATCCCCGTGACGAGTTTGTAAAAGCGGCCTCGCTTTGCCACAGTTTTTGTTTCCTTTTTGTGTACAGTTGTTGAATTACGTATTGTACCGTACGAGTATCTACAGACTTTTAAAACCGTTCTTATTCATTGCGGTTATGGGAATGAGATGTCATAATGTCAATGAGATGTCATATGGGAATGAGATGTCATGTTTACCTGTGCGTCTAGCAGTATAACGCACTTGATTACAATGTGCATGTTAGTATTCAGGAAGAGAATCTTGACTTTTCAAAATTTTAGTCTGTTGTTACGTTTGTTTTTTTTTCCTTCGACATGATAAAAAGTTTATCCATTTGTGGACAGCATTCAGATTGGCATCTGAGCCAAACAAACCGTATAGCACCAGTGGGTCGTGGAACATTTGCACAATGTAAAATTGCGCTTATAAAAATTAATCTAATACGACTGAAGCAAATGCAAGCAACAATAACGGAAACTGTAGAAGCCCGTAGTTGCAACGGAACAGCGCTGGTATAAGAATTCGATCGCTACTACCAAGCTATCTTTTTAAAGAAATTTCTGCACTTCCTTTAGTATACACTGCGAGTACCCTTTTTTATGTGAACCGAATCGACTTTAAAATTCCTTTGACCCGCGCTACGATGCCGGTTGGATTGGCTTCCACTGGAGGCCACGAGCGTGGTGCACCGCGCACTGGACTGTTAATGGCAGGATCGTTGCAATCATCCTCGTCGCAGCGAAAGCAGTGTGATACCGTAAAACGACCCATCTTCTTCGGCGCAGTGTTCTGACCGTTTGATGAACTGGGGCAGTTGGTCATATTCAGTCCAAACTGGTCCAGTGGAGAGCCGGTATCAACGCAACCGAACGCCACGTACTGCGAGCGACCATCTGGAAAGAAGGTACGCGTTGGCCAAGTTTGCAGTTCGACCAATGTAAATTAAAAGACCAAGGAGAAATTTGTGCGCTTCCCACCTGATTATTAATATCCGTAACTACGCTTTATCAGAGTACGATAAATGCCGATGCACACACAGTACATACTTGTACACCTTTGGATTTATTGAGATCTACTGAGTATTAGCAGTGAGAATAACTCGAGAGGTCCTGGTACGGTGTGGTACCTGGTTAATGGTCTCTTCGCGCTGACTTTTTGCATGCACGCGGTGATTGACTTCTTTACCAAATACTGTATCCGCTCGCACATCTTGAACCACAGAGTCCGTGTACGGGAAAAACACGCATTTAATATACACACTCTAACCGGGCAAAATGCACGACTACGAAATATTCCTCATTTGGTTTCAAGATGAACAGTTCTTCTTGTGAATTTTTGTTTATTAAATCAAGTCTTTTCATTTAAATGGCAATTCACTCTGGAAAAAAAGGTTCTGTAGCTGAAAGCTCGCATTGTTCGGTGGTTCATCGCCATCAAGAATGTTGACGCGGAACGTACCCCTCCCCCTCCAGGGGCACCCCAAAACCACAACAAAATCCGTTTGTAACTCGTGCTTACGCCAAAGCTGTATGTTAATGGCTGCTTTCGAGCCTAAACATGATAAAAATTGTTAGAGCTCTAATTTTTTTCATTATTCAAGAAGTTCTCCAGTCCAGATGTTGTAAGACATCAGAAATTTATCAAATCGCGAATCGCGCGTTTGGCCCGGTTAGAGTGTGTATATTGAATGCGCGTTTTTCCCGTACACACACTCTGTGGTCCAAGATGTGCGAGCGAATACAGTAATATTTGCATTTCATCGGGTATCTCTAGACTTAAAACACTTCTCTGCTCTGCAGTAATCATACATGTGACTACGAAATATCATGCACAATTTTAATCCTACCTGTAAAGATCTGCTGAGCACAGCCATGAAAACAGACGACAGAATACAAATTAATCAGTTCAGTGTTGTTGGACGCCAAATCCGCCATTTTGACGGGATATCCACATGCCGATAAGGCATGAGAAGAGGAGCATGCTTTACATGCGATCGGCTTGACTGCTGCAAAATGTAAATACAGTAATTATGTTAAGGTTAAGATAGGAACGAAATATATATTAATAACTGGGAGTATCCGAAAGTTGATCGTTTAAAGCGAACGCGCCTGATACAGTTTGCGGAACGCAGAAGAACCATCCAACAATCAACCACACCGACATGATGGCATGTTTGCAGGCGAACATTTTGGTAGGTAACACGGTTCGCTATAATTGCACAGTTCGAAGCAGAGTAAACGGAAGCAGGTATACAGCTCACTTATGTCGGTATAAGTTTTATGCGGCCCTCTAAAAAATTTTTCTACTGCTCACGTGGAGCATATTCATACTGGAACGGGCACATCAAAGCTTTCCGCTTCGTACTGTCTATTCAAGCGGATATGCACGTTCCAATTGTCATTTTACTGCATACGATGCATAGCTGTCGTGAGAACAACGGTGGATTGTGAATTCTTCTGTGCGTCGCTAACTTGGAATTACTGAATCATTGCCCACTGGTGCAATGTTATTATGCTAATGCTAAAACGAAGCAAGCATTTTAAAAGGGATTTATCAAGCTGCGCTCAACAACAGTGAGTGTACTGTAATATTGCAGGACAAAAGCGGAAATATGTAAAAGTACTCTGTAGTTGTACCGTACTTCCAGTACATACTGTATGTAGTGCGATTGACTTAATTAGTATTATTATTATTAGTATTATAGCAACTACAGTAGCCAAACTCCATTACAGGAGACTTTAACCCTAAGGTGAAAACCTTTGGGTGTTTAGGCTACTGGAAATTTTTTGAAAAATATGCTTAAAAAAATTGAAAAATAAAAAATGCTAAAAGAAAATCTGCTAAAAGAAAAATATGCTAAAAGTATTCTCAAGTCACAACATATTGCGGAATCAAAACAGGTGGGAATACGGTGAAGTGACGCAAACGTGGTCGTCGAAGCTTTGCTAACACCACTATGCGTGAAGCCATTCTCAAGGGCACGATTACACTGACCGGCAGCGTATCGTTGTTAGGAAGCATCTACGAGTACATTGACGTTTGCGTTGTGGGGCTATACTTGTAAGGAATTCGCAAGAGGGGACAAAAAGTACGAATTTATTCAACAGTGTTATATGTCAGCAATAAGTTAGCACGAACTCCGAAAGGCCTGCGCTGAAAGTCTGAATCTGATTCTGAATGCTAAAAGTCTGAGTCTGAATACAAAAAGTCTGATTCTGATTCCTGGAACTCTGAACCTGAACACCAAATTCTGAATCTGAATAATAAGACACTAAGTCTGGCGGGTGACGACTCGAGTCTCTCAATAAAATTATACTGCAGTTGCGTTTAGACAATAGTTATTAGCTCTGGCGATAACAGTTATCTATTCGAGTAATTATAGACTAGTATTAGGCGGTGGGAACTGCTCATAAACAACAACACGGGGCGCGGGACAGAGACGTTATGAATACGTTTGTGCGGTAAAAAAATATTGTTTTGCGTCCAGTGTAGGATGACATAGCCGGTAATTCCTCTGAATTTACCGAACGAGCCTGCGCCAGCGTAATATACGTACGCCCATGTAAATGTGCTGTTATGTTGTACACATATGCAGTATTTACACGTTCCATTTATTCATACAAAGTCTTAACAGCAATACAGAGTACATACAAAATTTTAAAGGTCACATAGTTGTTCGCCGTTTGCGCAAACTACCGCAAAAACAGAATGACGAGGCGGGTTAAAAAACAATCGCAGTACTTCCAGATCTACTGTCGAAGGCAAACCGAAGGAATATGCCTCGAGCTTTGCGGTTCAGCGTGAAACTGCGCGATATTTTAATCGGTTAATCAGGTTCATTTGATGGATGAATGAATTGAATTTTCAGTCTTTTCCGCACAACTAACATGCTATGGCGCATGTACCACAGTACGAGTATTGCTTTTGGTTAACTTGTATGAGCTCCGGCACGCGTCTGTACGACGGTGCGGTTTGTCCTGTGTTAAGTGATTTATTACGAGTAATTCCATGTTGTAACACGCTGGGTTTTTACCTGATTCTGGAGGCAGAATCAGTCGATCGATTTGTGAGCTAGCGAAATAAGATCAAATAAACTTGTGTTGAGATATCCGGATATTCGTGTGTGTTGTGGTGACCTTCGTAAAGACAACTAGGGATAGTTATCTGAGCGGAAGTCAGTGTGTGTGAGTCGGAAGTAACATCATCCGACTAAATCTGGGACAACAACATCGTCCTAGCAGGATCCTGAGTGTGTGTGTACGCGCGTGTGTGTAGGAAATATTAGTGCTAATATTTCCGAGGAGTTTCCATTAGTGTACATCTAGAGCATATTCCATCTTTATTGCCTGAGTAAGGTTGGTCATCCTGCTGTACTTGTGAGTACAAGTACACCAGAGCATGTCATGGCGCCCACCGGGTTTTAACAACCCCTTGGAATTCTGGATGGTATTTTAGTGGAAATTTAGTACTGAGGAGTACTGTGTCCGTGATCCCCTTAGAGGGGATTACGAGGTACTGGTTCCTAAGTGGGACCGGGAGGCAGAGCCTTAAGCCAAGTGGCATTTTTATCTGTCCGCTACGGAAGTAGCGATCCACAGGTTCCTTAGTGGAAGGCTGTGAGGTACCGCTCCTAAGTGGAGTCGGGTGAAGTACTTGACCTGAGGAGGTCATTGGTATCACCGGGAAGGTGAGAAATTGTATTTTACAGTAAATTACTGTACGAGTAGAGGTATTCACGGAAGTGGTTACCTTTTACTATAGAGTAGCATTAAAGCTAGAGGTAGTTTGAACATTACGCAAAATTACAGTGGAAGCTGTAAACAGGAAAGGAAAGTTACGAGGAACTACAAGTAGTTGTGAGCACAGCCACCTGGTTTATCTCTAACTTTATCAACGATTAAAAGTACATTACTGGAAAGTAGTGTTCGTTCAAGTGGTAAATATGGAAGGTTCAGGGACAGATCCTTCTATTACTGCTGATGTAACTGCACATTCTACGGAAGAACCGTCGAGCAGAACGAAAAATGCAAGGCGAAAAGGTCTGGTAACAGCTGAAGATTTCGAAAAAATTCTTCAAAAATCAGTGTATGAGACGCCGCCTGCAGTACAGTGGTTTGTACCAGAACAGCAATCATTGCAACATTTTGTGACCAGGTGGAGACTACTAATTACGATAACTGGATGGTTCGGCTCTGCGTGAACTGAGCCAGGAATGGCTTAAATATGAAGTAGATAATTCGAAAGAGAAACCCGCAGGTTACGATAACTGGATGACTTCCGGAAGGAAAATCCCCAGTCGCTTTACTACGCACTTGTCATTGAAAGATTATGACATACAGTATGGCTCGAACTTAGCGGAAGTATGGGTACGATATTCTGATAAGCAGAAACAGCCTATCACACAGCCACCTGAGAACAATGCTCCAGGCACGGCAGCCGCACCTGGGAAATCTGCTGGTCAGCAGATTTCGCTGAAGAGGTGCAGTACAGTCACTGTTGACAGCTTGATGGGCGATAAAATCACTACTGCTCAGGGAGAGGATAGTGATTCGTCAACCACAAAAGAAAAAGGTTACGATACTACCATGTTGGAAGATATCCGACTGAGTATCAATGCTTCGTCTGCAATTTCAGAATTGCAAAATCCACTTTCTCAAGAGAAGGGAGCGGAACGTGATTTTCCCTTTAATGTGCAAAGAGATGGCCCATCGCCATTCTTTCAGCACCTCGAGGTCGATGAACTGCGTAAACAGTTAACCGAGCAAAAGGCTAAATATGCGGAACTGGAAGGTTTGCATAGGCACGCCTTATTGCTAAATACCCAGTGGAAAGACGAAAGCGATAACTGGAAGCTTGAGAAAAGCAAGCTTCTACAGGAAAAAGACACTTTGAAATTAGACATCAAATCTTTGAACCAAAGACATGAAAAGGATAAAGAACTTCAGATTCAAGCACATGATTACGTTAATCATGAACGCGAAAAACTGGAGGATGAGCGTGAACTTGAGCGGAAACAGAGAAAGAAGGTTCAGGCCAAAATTGACGAAACGGCTAACGCACTGAAATTGCAGTACGAGCAGTTTCTCAAGGATAAAAGCCTGTACGAAAACAGTTTGAAACAAGTAAACACGGAAAGAATTCGGAGCAGTTCTTTCCAGGGACAGGAAGTCGGTAAGAAAACATCGTCTGGTTCGAAAAGCAATATTTCCAAGGAAATTGGGAATATTCGTAAAGAGGTTCAAGATGTTTTGAATCCAAACACAAGCTATTTATCAGAAAATGCTTCAGTAAAAGACCGACAAAATGAACATGAGGATAATCGTTCAGTACTGCACGATATCCCAGAGAGAAAAGGTGAATCTTTCAGTGAACCTGGAACAATGGAAGATGGTAATCAAGCACCGAATTACCATTTAATCTACCAGGAGAAAATCCGAAAATTGGAAGAGCAAGTTAAAAAGCTGAAAATTCAAAAGAATTCATCATCGTCCGAGGATGAAGAAAAGGTAGCGGCTGCACCTTTTGATTACAAGCAATTTACGAATGCTCTGAAAGGCGCATTCAAAACAGATGTGATGTACCCATCTGAGAAATTTGATGGCACAACAGACTCGAATAAAATCGAAGCGTTTATCGAGAGCATCGATAATTGCAAAAAACACAATAACTGGACAGACAGAGAGGTAGTAGACAAGTGCTTGTCCCGTTCTCTCAAAGGAACCGCTCTCACTTGGTACAATGATCGGTACCAGGATAATAAACGTAAGAAATGGGACGAATGGAAGGAATTAACGCGGAAGCATTTGTCTGATGAAAAGGATTTAATGGCAGTCAGGGATAAAGTTGCGAATCGCAGCTATACCAATGACGACACGCCCACCACTTACGTTGACTGGTTCACAACATCATTTAAAAAGTTAAATTTAAATGAAGTGGAACGTACTTATTACCTCAAACAAGGGTTGAAACAACACCGGTTTGGGTGGTATAAGTATATGGAGGAGCAGGACGTTCAGGATGTAGAGAAGTTTCTATCATGCCTGAAACTGCAACAAAGATTGCGAGACAGCAATCCCAGTATTAGCGAAAAACACGATAACAGTAAACAGAGACAGTTTACTGGTAAGAAGCCTGGACAGGATTCTTACAACAGGCCAATTTTTAACAGGAGGCCTGCTGCAGGTCAATACCAGCGTAGTGATCCCCAGCAAAGCAGCTCGTCTCAACAGGAAAAGAAAATTGCTTCAGAGCCTGAAACAAAAAGCAACGTGATGATTGACTTTAGCAAATGGTTTTTCCCAGATGGGCAACCAATCTGCTTTAAATGTCACGGAGGTCATGTCAGTTTAAAGTGTACGAGCACTACACT